ATACTGTATTTTCTTCTATATACATATATTAAAGCACAACTTTTTTAAAAAAAATATTATTGTTAACAATAATTTAGTTTAATTTTATTGGAAAAAAATGTAAAGTGTAAAAAGACTTACAAAAATTTATCACTTTAGCCCTAAGACTTAAATATTTGACATATTATATGTAGAAAAGTGTAAGGAAAAAAAAGGGATAATAAAAATAAAGAGAGGTGGGAGAAATGGGTCCCAATCTCAAGTCTTAAGTTGAGTTTTGAAATTTCAAGATTCAATTTGAGACTTGCTTGAAATATTTGAAGAAAAATGAGAAAAGTCTTAAGCATAAGTCTTAAGACGTAAAATGATGATGTCACCCCAAGTCTTAAGACTTGGGGCTAAACTTGCTCTTGGTTGGTAAGTATTTACAATTCTAGTAAAAGTTTATGTCGTTACAGGTTAATAAAGCCCTTACTCCCTTAGCATGAGAGAAGAGTGACAAATGACACATGTGATATGTTATCATATCACTGTTGTAGAAGAAGGAACAAAAGGTGAGATAAAATGTATATATTGACCTTGATCAATAAATAAATAATACTCACAACTACAAATGTACAATAATACAACGAAATTTTGATATTTGCTACCAAGGAAAACACCTCGCTTCATATTTGCTATACAAGTTTTTTTTTTTTTTTCTAACTTTACTATCACCTAAATCAGAGTTTGTTAAAAATAACTACCTAATGTCTTACACCGTAACTATTTCCGTTAGTGGGGCCCAACCAGCACTCCTTCCCCAGCCACCTCCCATTTCCCCATCAACGCTGCCTTGAAGGGTGAAACACATCACTGCCACCCCCTCCCCTTGTCGGGCATCCCATCCCCTTGCCGACGACCAACTCCTCCGCCCCTACTCGAAGCCCCTTTCCTTCCCACGAAATCCTAGAAAAATTCGTCATCTACCCCTAAAACCTCCAAATCGTTCCTCCTCTACCCTCAAAAACCCTGACCACTAGGGTTTTGGGGTTGGGCGAGGAGCGATTGGGAGGTTTCAAGGGTAATGGAGAGGTTTTTATATGCAGCCCATCTTACCAGCTGGCTGCTGTTTGGTGCGTTGTGCTTGGCGCGCCAGTAGCAATGGCCTAGCACACTTGCCCCGCTCATATGCGCAGCAAGCCACACATGCATATGCGGGCTGCTGCTGCTATGTGCGTGGCTTGGTGCATGCTAGCCATGTACTCTTAGAAAATTTTTCCCCTAGCACTCGGTTTGCTCGAGGCATCCCGATGCTAGGGGTATTTTGGCAATTGTCGATTAATTAGTTTGATTTTACCGTCTTGTCTTTTATTAATTCGACTCAACTTGCGACACTCGCTTTTGACGCTCCTAGCTCAATTTCCGGCGTTTAAATATTTATTACTCGAGCGACTCATTAATTCCTTCCGAATTTATTCGTCGTGTTGGATTGTTAGTTGCTTGGGTGTGACCCGAAAGGTTCACTCAAGATTGAGCTGTAATATTAATTATGCATTAATATTACTGATCGGAAGCGGCCTCCACCTAGGTATTTCGGTCACTTGAACTTAGTGAATAAATAGCATTTCAATAGCTCCGAACCCTCTACCGGAATAATACACTTGTTCGAATGGATGACAACATTCCTATCAATTGAAGGCTATCCTGATGTATTGGACCATAAATTTATGAAACATTCTTATCAATTTTTTGAACTACTTTTACACAGTAAATTTGTTTGAAATATAATGGGCGTGTTCGGTTCACCTTATTTTAACTTATTTCAAGTGTAATAAGCTCAATTTAGAAAAGGAAAATTTGTAATTATTAATCCCAACTTTCGCCCATTTACTTTCATTAATCACAACTATCATTATTATTGAATAATCCCAACTTTGGGGGGCATTTTCTTTTATCAGGTCATGACCGGTCAATAAAATTCAATGACCTATTGTAACAGGTAATTTGACACGTGTCAAGCCCTGATTGGTCAAAAAAATAAAAAAAAATAAAATTACAAAAATTGAAAAAAAAAAAACAAAAACCCCAACAACCTCTTCCTTCCGTTCACCGGACCACCATACCCTAACCCCCACCCTGACATCTCGGCCACCCTTTTTACCACCGTGAAACATATACCCCCACCCCTAACCTCGTCGACCACCGCCTTTGGGCCACCAAAACCAACAGATCGGCGAACCCCGACCCCTAAAACCACCGGTCGCACCACCACGACCCCTAAAAAAACTGGTTCACGCGAACCTCGACCCCCATTACCACCAAGAGCGCGAATCCCGACCCCCATTACCACCAGCAGGATGAATCCCGACCCCCATTACCACCAGCAGGACGAATCCTGGCCCCCATCACCACCAGCAGCGCGAACCTCGACCCCCAAAACCAACAGCCGCGCGAATCCTGTCCCCCAACATCACCAGCCGCGCAACTGCGGCCCTTGAAACCACCGTCCGCCACGAACCTCGACCCCCAAAACCAACAGCCGCGCAAATCCTGACCCCCAACATCACCAGCCGCGCAACTGCGGCCCTTGAAACCACCGTCCGCCTCGAACCTCGACCCCCAAAACCCTTACTTCCCTCCTCACTCATGAAAACCACCATACGCCCCTTCCCCACCATGTTGTTAGGGTTTTCACGAGTGGAGGAGGGAGATTGGTGGTTTTCGTGAGTGGATGAGGGAGATCGGGATGAAGGGTGGAGATGCGTCTAGGAGGAGTTGCAGTGCTTGGGGGTTGTTTTCGGCGACGAGGGGTGAAAATGGTGGCTTGGGGGTTGTTGTCGGCGACGGGGGGGTGAGGTTGCGGTGGTTTTCAGTAGGGTTGGGGAAGGAGATGGTGGTTTCCGGTGGTGTTAAGGAAGGAGGTGGTGGGGCTATGGTGCGGTGGGTTTGGTTTTTAACTTTTTTTGTTTTTTTTAAAGAAAATTAACTAATGAAATTGCGACATGTGGCATGTAAGAAAAAAATTAAAAAAAAAAATTACCTTTTAAACAGGTCACCGGCCATTTGACCTGATAAAAGAAAATGCCCCAAAGTTGAGATTATTCAATAATAATCGATAGTTGGGATTTATGAAAGTAAATGGACGAAAGTTGGGAGTAATAATTACAAATTTTCCTTTACAAAAAATAGTCTTGATAAGAGTTACCAAGCATAAATTACAACTAATTAAAATCAACTTTAATAAGTTCAGATAAATATATATATTAGATAAAATATGTTTAGATAAATGAAAATTAAGTAAATAAATAGAGTAGACCTGACCTAAGTATGAACAAGTTCTTAAATTACGTCTAGCACTTTCTCTGTCTCAAACTACTTGGTTTATTTAACTTTTTATAGTCTTTATACCAAAACTGAATCAGACCAATACAGAAGTGTTTAAACCATTGTTGAGATGAGTATAAATCAAAAGTGATGAAGTCATTAGATAACAATCAATAACAAATAAATATTATAAAAAAAGTTACTTTTTTATTACATGTACACACAAATCTTATAATCAACATGTAACAATATTATACACCCTCAATTTTTAAATACTTGCTCCACTTTTTATCTTCGGCCATTTTTAAATACTTGCTCCACTTTCTTTCATAAAAAGTTTTTACAATATATAATTTGTTTCTCTAAACTAGTGGACCCGACATAAATCATATTTCATTAATTTTGTATTCTCTTTCTTCAAATTGCACTACCTTCATGCATATTTATTACTTTCTTTAATTTCTCCTAAAACTCCGCACATAGAGAAATAAAGCAAATTTTAGTCAGTTAAGCGGTGCCTCACTCATATGAAAGAACATGAGTTTTTGGAATTGAGGTTTAAGTCAAAAAATTCCTACTTCAAGAACCAGGATGGCACTTCATTCCCTTACAATGTGTTTGGATAACATTAGAGGAAGGAAAAGAAGGGGAAGGAGGAGAAGAGGAGGGGAGGGAAAGGAAAGGAAGGGGAGAGAAGAATGATGAGTTTTCCTTCTAAATCTCTCCGTTGTTGAAGGGATCATTTTCCTATAATTTAATCCCTCTATTTCTCTCCCCTTCAATTCCCTTATTACTTTCTCATTTGTTATTCAAATGAAGTATATCACATCTCTCCAATTCCCTCCCCTTCTTTTCCTTCCATTTCCTTCTATCCAAACACACCGTTAATCTTGACCATATATTCAAGGATTATTCTGCTGTGTCATTCTTCAAAAAAGGACACCATAATATGCTGACGTGGCATATTATGATTAGCCAATTATTCCTTTATTTTTTTAAAACCAAGATATACTATACATATATGTATAATTGGAAACGCATGTATTTTTTTTTTTTTTTTTTTTTTGTACAGAATACATAATTATAGTATTTGAAAATCCATTTATATTTTTTTAAAATCATCCAGAAAATTAAATTATATAATCAAAATTTAGGAAATCAAATATTAATCATCGTCCTTGATTGTTCATCATCATTCTTCATCTTGTGATCTTAAACCATAAAAGGTTTTTACTCTCTTTATGGAGCAAACCATAAAAGGTTTTTACTCTCTTTAATCCAATAGTGATATACATGGACATTTTTTTTTTTTTTTTTTTTTTTGTGTGAGGAAAGACGAGTTTGATTCTAGGCTAGCTTCTCTAAATCTACTCTTTGGACGAGCTTTTTTAATTTTTATTTTGTTTACTAGTCCGTCAATCCATAATTTGATAAAATTTGGGCGAATATGCGAAAGTTTAATGGTTCTGGTTTTATGAAATATGATGGATGGTAATTTTGTTACAAACTTGTGGGAGATATATATACATACTACGGGCCTGTTTCATACGTTTATTTTCAGTTCAGTTTAGCTTCTAAGTCCTAATTTCCTTCTCTTATAAAATATTTATTTCAGTTCAGTTCAGTTCAGTCTATGAGAACATGCCCTACGTATGTGATATGCAAGATTCCATAAGAAATTGTACTCAGCTCTTGCTTATGGATATGGTGGGAAGTACACGAATGGCTTTTTTTATTTTATAAAGACATGAGCTTAAGCATATACATGTATGACTCTACACTACAAAACATGATACTATATCACATGTTTAACCCAAAGGCCAAAGGAGTTGAAAAAAAAAAAAGCTTAATCTAGAATATTTTACATTTTTCATACAAAGTATGATAATATATATTTAATGCTAGATTAAGCTTTATGTCTTAAATGACATAATGATACACAAAATATAAAATGTAATTACTAAAAAAACAGTCCAACATCATCTTGTACGTAACGATAAACCAACTAATGAAAAGGGATAGGAATTGCAAACAAATTGTTTTTCCTTCTCATTGTCAAGCCATAAGATTCATCCATCTCTAGGTCTTCAGGTTGAGCTCCATTAGGTAACTTCCAATCAAAATGGTAGAGCAACGCGGCTAATGCTAGCTCGACGTTAGCTACCCCTAGTGTCATACCGGGACACCTTCTCCTTCCGGCACCAAAAGGAATTAACTCGAAATTGTTTCCTTTATAATCAACCAAACAATCTTCAAATCTTTCAGGACTAAATTTTTCAGGATCGGTCCAATATTCAGGATCCCTTCCAATAGCCCATGCATTGATCACAACACGAGTTTTGGCAGGTATATCATAGGAATAAATTTGACATCTCTCCATGGATTCTCTAGGTACCAAAAGAGGTACGGGAGGATGAAGTCTTAAAGCTTCCCTTACAACATGTTTCAAGTACTTGAGCTCATGGAGCTTCGTCTCATCAACTACTCCGATCTCTTCATACACTCGTCGTACCTCAGCTTGTGCCTTCTCCATTGCTCTCGGGTTCTTTAGCAACTCAGACATTGTCCATTCTAGTGTTGCCGATGAATTCTCACTTCCACCTCCTAAAAGCTCCTATAAACACACACATCCGCCTTTTTAATCTCTGTATACAACAGAGCTAATTTCATTTTTATACTCGAATTGGTCAAACTTATTTAAATCACGTCAACTTTATTGAAAACTAACTAACCTAAAAACGTAACACCTATGTTGTTTTTTTATTTTCTTCCAAAAAATACAAAAAACGATGACAAACAAGCAGCAGTAATCTAGTTAATTTAGGCTTAGAAAATAAACGATGGACTTACCACGATAACTCCCTTAATGTTATCAGTTGACATGGAAAAATCGTCGGGATCATCAACGTTGTCCGTGTGATATTTCAAAAGAACATCAACCAAATCTTCTTCATGTTTGCCCTGTTTCTTCTTAAATTGATGATCAGAAATTATGGGATCTAAAATTCTATCAGATTCCTTAGTAAACTTCTGAAATTTACCCCTGCTAATTGTTTTAAGAAAATTAATCGAAGGGTAGACGTCTGCTGGGCAAAATCCTGTGCAAGTTTCTGTTACTCCTGCTGTATATGCTCTTAATGCTGCTTGCTCGTTACCTTTAGTTCCAAAAGTTGCTCTGAAATCCAAAATCGTCGTAACATAGATTAAGATCTGTTTGTTAAATTTGCCATTACCTTTGCAGATACGAAGTACTACCTCAGTTTATTATTATGTGCAACAAAGTATATCATTTTCGTATAATCAATCTAAGTAGTATTATTGCAAATTTGCAAGTGTAAGAAAATATTGGTGAATGGTGATAATTTAGTGTCGCAAATGGATGTATGTATGTAAGACTTTAATTGAAAACAAATTAAGTGAGGTTTGTGTAATAAAAAGTCAAAACACATTGATGTATCATGTATGTGGAGGATCATTTTACATAATTTTTACAAAATGAATAGTTCAGATTTAATGATTTTTGAATCATCTTTAAATATTAATATTAATTATTTTCTGAAAAAAAATTTAATTTAAATTTTTTTTTAATTTTATACTTCCGTATTAATTAAAACTAAATTTCATAACTTAATTTGAAAAAAAAATATCAAAAATTAAAATAATTAATTCAAAAACTTAGAAATAATTTAAAATGAATTCCTAAATTAAGAAATATGAATTTTAATTGATTATAGTCATTATACTGTTTAAAAACAATTCAAAAATCATTAAAACATAGCAGTTCAATTTTAAAAATTATAGTAGTCAAATAAATATTATTTAAATGACTATTATAAAATTTTCATGATAGAAAGGAATAAAAGTGCGAAACTAAATAATTCACATACCTACACATAACATCGCAAGCAAGGACAAAGAACTTGTTGCTAAGGTTAACAGCACAACCACCAACCTCCTTCCGAATTGCCTTCAACATATTCAAGGTCTCCTCCTCCCTTATGAACCTAAACGACTCGACTCGTTTCACGGTGAACAACTCGAGCGTCGAAATCTTCCTCACTTGGCGCCAATACTCGCCGTAGGGTGCCAACCCTATGTCTTTACAATCATAGAACACCTCCTTACCTACCATGAGCTCTGGCCGGTTACAAAACACCGCGTCATGAGTCTTCATAACCTCCCTAGCCATGTCGGCGGATGTGACTATAATTGTCGGTACTTGGCCGAGTTGTAGCATCATGACTCGGCCGTACTTCTTAGACAACTCCGCGAGGCGGCGGTGGGGGAGGGTATTTTTGGAAGAGAGTAAGTGGAGGTTGCCTATAAAGGGTAGTTTTGGAGGGCATGGAGGTAATTTTGATGTTGGTTTTTGCATGGATTTTATGACGTAGGTGAAAAATAAGGTAGAAATAAAAATTATGAAGAGAGGGTATTGTAGTAGAGTTTCCATTGCTAAATTATAAATGTTCATGGGATACATGTTATGCTATCTAATTGCACACTTTTTTATAACAGTTCTATTACATACCTCCGTTGTAAAATATTTGCAACAATTAGATATATATAGAGTCTAAATAAAAATAATAATAATAATAATAACCATTGCAAATATTTTAAAGGGAGATTTTATATTATTGGGATAATAATAAAAATAATAGTCAATCAATTTTCGAACTTCAACTGGTAACACATCAATGCAATAATGTATGTAATAACATAACGTTAAAAGTAGCCCTACCTTTAAAAGGTTGAGTTTATGCGTGAATAGTTTCATGTAAAATCTAAAAAGATAATATATTTAATTGCATGATTGAATAATTGGTAGATGCTTGTTCTTGTTTTTATATATGTATGAATTAATTGATCAAATAATTGAGGTAAGATCTAAACCTGGCCTACACCTCTGATTTTATACGAGTTAAATCTTACCAAGTGATTTTTTTTTTATTTATTTTTTTAAAAAATATTTTGGAACCATTTAAACCTTTTTTATTTTTGCACAATTTTTTTTTAAGTAAAATAGACTTTTATTAACTATTGTAATACGAGTTAAACTTATTATCCTTATATACTATAAAAGTTACAATATTTTAACATGCATTTTATTCTTAAAATACATCAATAATGTATTACATTAATCATATTAGCCTTTATAACTAATAACATGTATAATACACATTAGAATACAATGATCAACTCATTATTAATTACAAATTAAAAGTTACCCTTTAGTGGGTCAAAAGAAGACTTAAAGTTACAGTAAAAATTGTTTAAGTTATCCTCAGTTGACCATCTTTTTGTGAAATTTACAAAAATCCACCTTATACAAAACTTATTGTTTAATATTTGTCAAATTGAAAGGAGCCTACAACGATAGATCGATAATGCATGTACACCTATCCTTCGAATACACTTCAAGAGCTAAGATATTCATCCATGTCTAGTCCTTCGATTAGGTTGAGTTCCATCAATTAAAATTCTATAAGATATTCATCCATGAGCTATTTGCTTGTAACGTAGTCAATAGTAACTCAATATAACAGTTCATACTACTAGTTCGTTGAGGAAAAAATCTAATGAATGGTGTCAATTGTAATTAAAATTCATAACGCGTTTATCATGATAAATGAATTTGGTCACTTTGCCATCCTTGGTAATACACTTTAGTTACGCATTGATAATGACTAAGCAACATTTATAAAATAAAATGTTGTTCTTTGAGTCGGATATCACCATCTATTAATAAAGTCTATTAGTGGGTTTTTAGTTTATTCATTAGGTAGGCGTAGTCCACGTGTTGCACGCCAATGCCATTATTTTTAATGTGAAATGCATTAGTGTCACTATAATTTTTAAATAAAAGAAGAAAATAATTGTAAACATATGATACAAATATACAATATTAGAGAAAAGAAAAGAAAAGACTTATCTATTACTTTAAAAATGCCCAAAATGACAGGGAATTAAGAATATTAATAAAGATATTCATTTGAATATTTGATATAGCTCACCATCATTACTTATTATATACTCTCGGATGTATACAGAGAGGTAAGTGGATTTAAGGGTGATTTGTTTTTACTCATTTGATATATTTTTTCTCATCTAAATATTTTAAACGAGCAAAAAGAAAAAAAAAAGTATCAAATGAGCAAAATTATCTTTAGATAGTTCAAGGTGCACTAAAGTGTATATATTTCAACTCTATTGAAATAGCTCACGATCAACTCATTATTTTATGGAGTACAACTTAAAATCACAATTATATCTTTGAGTTTTCATGTAATATTCATGATTGCTTTAAAAGGATTTGATATACTTCTCATATAAACACGATACATCTTCTTTTCAGGGAGCTAATATGCTAAGATACTCCACAATTAATACCATGTTCTGTTCACCTTATTTCCACTTATTTCGGGGTTGATAAGTTCAGATAAGGATAAATAAGTAAGTTCAGGAAAAATAAGTTATAAGTTCTGATAAATTTAGATAAGTTGTGATAAGGGTTAACCAGGACTACCCAAGTTTAATTTATAGCTAAAATAAGTTCCAATAAGGTTAATATGTTTAGATTAGTTCAGATAAGTTCATATAAGTAAAAATCAGGTAAATAGAACACACCCTAAGTGTGCTTGGCTAGGATAGTCTTGGAATGGGTGACCTCTTAGGAAGTTTTCTCGGGTTGCGCATGAGTGAAGATAAAATGCGATGGAAGGACTAGTGTTGGTCTGTAGGGCCAGTTGTTGGTCCTTAATGCGCATTTTGTGACAATAGGCCCATCCCTAATTTGTTCGGGGTCGGGGTCTTACACTTCATATATATATATTTTTTAGTGTACAATCATTACTTCATAAAATAAATAAATAAATAAATAATAAAATAAACCTTGTAGGAACACATTTTTCTCAATAAAAGTGACTTTTTTTCGTTAATATTGTATAAAATTGAATTATTTATTAAAAAAAAGGTGGGGACAATTGTCTCCCTTGTACAGAGTCCTTAATTAATTGGCTTTGTTAAAAAAAATATATATATAATTGGCTTGTAAGTAGAGGGATTCCTTTACCTCCCTTCTCTTTACTCTTACACGTTGACCCGAGAAGTTAGATTGACTTAACTTATAAGAGTGTGAGAAATGCAACCAATTCAGTAGGATCTTTCATCAGATCTTACCTTTAAAAAAAATAAAAACAAAACAAAAAACATTTCCTCTGCTGGTAAATGAAGATAAATAAATTCAAGTATTTGTAATTATATAACCACATGAGGTGATTTTTTTTTTTTCATGTAACCAACCTTAAATTTGTGGAGCTAAGTGTTTGTTAGTGTAGCATTAGTTGTAGATTTGATAGATTTTTTTTATCTTAATGAACAATTAAAACTTTCGTGATTATATATCAATGGAGCTTTTTCAAGAATGATACAAAGACATTTAAAACAATTAGTAAAAAATAGATGATGTCATCACTTTAGGAGTGTTTAATTATATTGAAAATTAGACATGCATGGTAACGAAGATTGCAAGTGGTGAATTTTGATAGATACACTCCAACACACTAAATTTTAAAAAATTTAGTCAACTTGAAATCTAATTGAAGTAATTAACTTCTAAATTTTGTTGCCATTTTCACTTATTTACATGAAATTTTCTTTTAACACAAACTTACGCAACGGTCGGATTCTAATTCAAATTTCAAAAAAAAAAAATATTACGAATAAATACCTTTTAATGATAAACTAAAGCAAATTCTTGAATGAATAATAACGTCCAAAACTTTATACTGTACTAGTATTAACTCTCGTCTACATTAATGCCTTCCGTGGCTCCGCTCCGGTCACTCCCTTGGACCAAGAATATTAATTAAAACCTTATACAATTTTCCTTAAAAAAAAAAAAAAAAAAAAAAAAAAAAAAAAAAAAAAAGTAGTAATGGCAAAAAATAAATAAAATTTGAAAGTGGGTTATATTATTTTCAGGTACCCGCAAATACCGCCAAAACATTAAAGTACCTGAACAGCGTAACTAGCCGTTACATTTTTCTTCCTCCTCAATCTTCACTCCCTGAAATTTTTTGTTTTTGTTTTCATTTTACTATTCATCTCCTCTAATACTCAACTTTCCATATTTCTTCGTAATTTTGGTCCATATTTTTCAATAATTGAGGCAGGAGATTCAAGAATTTAGCAACGAAATCTCTATCAAATTGGGTAAGTTTCAATATTCTGTTCACATTTCGTTTTATAAATTCTGGGTTTTGTTGGAATTTTTGATCCAATTATAGTAATTTATTTTGTTAATTCAACACTTGTAATCTGGGTTTCCTTTTTTCTTGGATTTTGTTGTCTAATTTATGTTTGATTTTTTGGGTTTTTGATGATTTCTTGAAATGAGTGTAGTTCTTAAATTAGAAACACCCAAAATTAGTAATTTAGCAGTAATCGAAATCTGAAGTTAGATTGATTTTTTACCCAGTTGTATATGCAAGAGTCCTGTTTAATTTCAGTTAAACCCAATTCTTGGAATTGCCATCTAAGTGTTTGATAAAATGCCTGAACTATTTGAGCAGTGGATTTTGAAATTGGGTGTTGAAAATGGGAGAACCCAAGACACCATTGTCCAAGATCCTAACAACCACATCATCATGTACTCCCGGGGGAACGAAAGTTCGAGAGGAGAAGATAATGGTAATGGTTCGAGTTAGGCCGCTGAGCTCGAGGGAACAAGCAATGTATGATTTGATTGCATTGGAGTGCCCGGATGAGGAGACAGTAGTGTTCAAGAATCCCAATGATGAGAGGCCTTGTTCCTCCTTTACTTTTGGTAATTTCTTAGGTTTTTTTCAAGGGTATGATGCATGATTTCATAAAATGTGAAGCTTAATTTGACATGACTGCATTGTGTAACAGATAAAGTATTCAGTTCAACTTGTGTTACCGCGAGGGTTTATGAAGGAGGGGCAAAGGATGTGGCCTTATCAGCTCTTACTGGGATTAATGGTGATTATATGCTTGATTTATAATGATATCTTTATTCTGATTAAGTTTAGTAGATGTTGTTTGTTGATTTAGTGAGAATTTTTGTTCTTGCAGCAACAATTTTCGCATATGGGCAGACTAGTAGTGGTAAAACATTTACTATGAGAGGAATCACTGAATATGCAATTGAGGACATATATCAGTATATGCAAAATGTAAGCTTTAACTACTTATGACTGTTCCTGACTTCCTATTATATCATTGGTAGTGGTTATGTGGTATATTTATGCTGAAAATTAAAATGACTGCAATTGATGATATTACAGCAGTGCTTGTAGTATGTGTTACTGTAATCTGGTTTTGAAGGCTGGTTTTGATACTTTATACTATTCTTGCAGCATCCTGAAAGAAATTTCTCTGTGAAAATGTCTGCTTTGGAGATCTACAATGAGACTGTAGTTGATCTTTTGAATCGTAGTTCTGGTCCACTTAGACTTTTGGATGATCCCGAGGTACTTGTTGCCACACACTCTGTATTTTGATATGTTTTAGATTTGTTTCTTGCATTTGTGTAATATAGTAATCTCTCTGTTACAGAAAGGAACCATTGTTGAAAAGCAAGTTGAAGAAGTTGTAAAGGATAGTCAGCATTTGAAGCATTTAATTGGCATCTGTGAAGGTAGCTTTCTTAAAATTCCATCTCTGGATAATCCTTAAAGAATGTGTACATGATCAATTATATACTAGGAATCTGATCGGAGATTTTAGGCACTATTTCGTGTCATTTATGAGATTATTTGAGCCACCCTTTGATTTATTGTTGTTTGCTGGATGCATATTGATGTAATTTATGCTTTACAAGTGTTTCTTTTTCTCTTAAGATATTATAATTTATAATAAAATAATAAAAAATAAAATTGGTTGTTAGCTTCTGAGGCTTACCAAACAGGTCTTAGATTAAGGTATAATATTTCTTGCTTATTTGAACAAAAGTATTGGAGTTTAATTGCTCCAGCATATGTTTTGCTCTAATTTTGCAGCTCAAAGGCAAGTAGGGGAGACAGCCTTGAATGATAAAAGTTCAAGATCACATCAGATAGTGAGACTGGTATTGCGCCTGCTTTATTGCACTTCATTCCTAACAAATCAACAAAGCTGAATTTCTAGCTTGAATCTAAAATATGTATCATACATTCATACTTTTAGGATATGATAGTTGTTGATTTGATTAAGATGTTTGCCATTGTCTACATATATTTTTTAATTTAGACCATTGAGAGCCGCCTCAAGGAAAATGCAGGCCGTCTGAAGTCTTTCATAGCAAGCCTGGTACATGCCTCCTACTCTCTTCTGGTCTTGGTTGTTGGAGTTGAAAGATACTTATTGCAAAAAATTAAAAATTTCAGAATCTTGTCGACCTCGCTGGTAGTGAACGTGCCTCTCAAACTAAAAGTGCTGGTTTAAGGTTGAGGGAAGGAAGTCATATAAACCGCAGCTTGTTGACACTCACCCAAGTTATCCGAAAATTGGGGTTAGTATTTGTGGTTGCTGGCAATCAGACTGTAGTCTATCACATTAAACAAATTCATCTTAAAACTTTTATTGAAGAATTGATTTTTAGATGCTGATTTGTTTTGCTCTCTTGCATCCATTTCAGCAGTGGAAAAAGGACAGGTCATATACCATACAGAGAATCAAAGCTTACCCGAATATTGCAGTCTTCACTTGGAGGAAACGCACGAACTGCAATAATATGTACCTTAAGTCCTGCATTGAGTCATGTAGAACAATCACGCAATACACTGTTATTTGCAACAAGTGCAAAGGAGGTTACAAACACTACTAGGGTGAATGTGGTAAGATAGTCTTTACAGACAATCTTTTGACAGTATAATATCATGTCTATTGTGCAATTGATACGATGCATAGATTTCATGGTACTCTATGCTTTATGATCTGAATGTCTTTATCTGATAAACAAGCAATATTCTCCGATCAGGTTGTTACGGACCAGCAGTTGGTTAAGCATTTACAACAGGAAGTTTCTAGATTGGAAGCTGAGCTCAAAAGTCCAGAACCTTCATCTTCATCAGCAGCTTTAAAGGCACTTCTGATTGAGAAAAACGTAAAAATCCAGAAGGTATGTTTCTTAGCTCGTGAACAACTTTACACACTGGGATTATGTTTGCTCAAACAGAACCATTTCAGCCTTTTTTCTGTGTTGAAAATCTTGAAAATAAAGGTTTGCTCTGCTGCTTTTTTAAGCAGAAGTTTGAAACACAAACCCAACCTTATCTGATCCCTACCTCTAAAAAATGCAAGAGTAAGAGAGAATGAGATTGCTCTTTAATTATAATGACTGACTAAAGCCTTGTTATCATGTATAGTTGGAGAGGAAAATGGGAGAGCTTAAGCGACAAAGAGATCTTGCACAGTCTCAACTTGAACTGGAAAGAACACGCAAGGAAAAGAAGGTAAACCAAGAATTTTGACACTCCGTTTCCAGTGTTTTTCAGTTGCAATATTCTTCTCTTTGCTCACCCCTCTTTCCTATTTTAGGAATCAAGTAACTCCAGCCCATCTAATCAAGTGAGAAAGTGTCTCGCTTATCCATTAGACACGATTGCGAGCAAATTTGCATCTGAAACCCAGGAAAGATACCAGGCTGGAAGGCAGTCAATGCTTAGGCAATCAGTTACTTCTACTGATCCTTCTCTCTTAGTGCAAGAAATCCGGAAGCTTGAAGTTCTGCAAAGACGACTAGGTGATGAAGCAAATAAAGCTCTTGACATACTTCAAAAAGAAGTTGCGTGTAACAGACTGGGGACACAAGATGCTGCTGAAAATGTTGCAAAGCTACTTTCTGAGATCAAAAACATGCAAATTATTAATTCCATATCCGAAGACATCATGGTAAAGGACAAAGCTGACCTGAAAGAGGAAATCATCCGGTTGAACTCGCAGGGGCAGACAATTGAATCTTTAGAAAAGAAGCTTGAGAATGTTCAGAACTCTGTGGACAGGTTGGTATTTACTTTGGGAAATAATGAGGATACCCCAGATACAAAGACACAATCTAAAAGGAAAAAGGGTATCCCATTTAACCTAACCAACAGTCCAAACATGTCAAACTTTATAAGGGCTCCATGTTCTCCTCTTTCTTCTTCTCGGAGAGTAATGGATGAGATAGGTAACACTATGTCAGATAGCCAAAGTGCTTTGCCAACTAATGATAGTCTGCCGAATTCCTGCAAAAGCACCCCTCTTAAAGGTGACCAAGTTGGTTATTCTCATTCCTCTAGGGAGAATACTCCTGCAAGGCAGAAATCAAACTCAGTTAATGTGAAGAAAATGAAGAAAATGTTCAATAATACACTTGAAGAGACTGCGCGTAACATCAGGTCATATGTTACTGAGTTGAAGGAAAGAGTTGCTAAGCTTCAGTATCAAAAACAGCTTCTGGTTTGTCAGGTAAGAATTCTGATTGATCTATTCAACTGCTTCATGGATTTTAATTCTTTTATTGACCCTTGTTGTATGGATGGATACTTATGTGATCTCAAGAATGATAATGTTCTGCTTGCTTGCTGTGGGCTATCCACTTCATATCATGTATGCCCTTTAGCTTAGTATATTGGCTACATATTTGTTGTTTTATGGTCCTAGATAGGAAGTCAGAGGTATTCTTATTGTCTGAGTAATTCATACCTTTAAAAGGACACTCGTTTACAGTGATATTACACCGCTCTATCTAAAGAATGTTTAATATGCAGCTTCTAGGCTTATGAATATGTTAAATCTCTTGTAATATTTGTCCTTAAATTCTCACATATCTTTTGTTATCCGTTTGTTGATAACTAGGTGCTGGATCTGGAGGCTGGTGAAGCAACAACCAGTTCACATGGTGAACCTGACCAATCTCCTTTTTCTTGGCTGTCAATGTTTGAGGAACAAAGAAAGCAGATAGTAATGTTATGGCATCTGTGCCATGTCTCGCTGGTGCACCGCACCCAGTTTTTCCTGTTATTTAGAGGTGATCCTGCTGATCAGATATACATGGAAGTTGAGCTGCGAAGATTAACATGGTTAGAACAGCATTTGTCAGATCTTGGAAATGCTAGCCCTGCTCTCTTAAGTGATGAACCAGCCTCCTATGTTTCGTCCAGGTACTGTCTCAATTTGTCAGTTATTTACTATTGTTTATATAAGCTGCTTAAACGGTTTCCATAATAACCCATAATGTGTATGTGAACTACTTGCAGCATTAAGGCCCTTAAACAAGAGAGGGAAAACCTGGCAAAGAGGGTTAGTTCTAGATTAACACCAGAAGAAAGGGAAGCTCTCTACAGAAAGTGGGATATTCCACCAGAAGGGAAACAAAGACGGAGGCTGCAGTTAGTCAACAAATTATGGACCGACCCTCACAGCTTGCAGCACGTGCAAGAAAGTGCAGATATTGTAGCAAAGCTTGTTGGGTTTTGTGAATCCGGTGAGCAACTTAAAAGGGAGATGTTTGAACTTAATTTCAAGTCACCTTGTGATAAGAAAACATGGATGGGCTGGAACTTGATATCGAACCTGTTGCATCTGTAAATACTTTACCTGAATCAATCTTCTGTAAATATTTGTGTAAAGCTTGTGCTGTCTAACTAACCTTTACATGTAATAACAAGATTTATGCTGTCTACTAATCTTAGAAAACAATGGGTGCACCTTTTGGAACACCCTGCAGAGCTCGTGTATTAAAGTACCTTCTGAAAAACCTTCTTACTGCACATTTTGATGTTGCAAACACCATTTCAGGTTTAATTCAAATTCTGATGATCAAACAGCACATTTTTGTGGAAGCAATAAATCTTCATAATAGGATATATTTTTCATATACTCTGATATGGTCAGATTTAGTTTCCTAATTTTCCTAGATGTTGCCTTTTTAATATTGAAATTTGGACGAAAAAAAAAAAAAAAAACCCTTAAAATATGTGATTTTTGGAGCCTGAATTGATAATTGAATCAAATGTCCCTTGATTTTTGGAGCTTATTTGATAATTGAATCAAATTTGGTTAGTAATGTATTGCAGAACCCGTTAATGTTAGTATTGAATTATGAAGCTAATAGGTAATTTGCTAGGCGGCTGGTTTGGTTGAATCTCTATAATGTTTATATATATCACGAATATTTGTATGAATGAGATGGAAGTGTGAGTTTTAGAATTCGTTCCTAATTTGAGAATCTGTTGGTGCAGAATTTCTTATGACGAGGCATAAATATTTAAGTTGAGTAATAAAACTAGGCATCAAAGTTGAATCATGGTCAATCGACGAAGCCCATGCATCCTCATAATCTTGATACCGACTATATTGAACAGGATTATGCTTTAGCCATTTTCTTATAATTCAGATTGTAGTTTCCTGATTCTTTGGTGCAGTATTGCTGCCAGATAGCCTCTTGTACAGATTTGTCAATTATACTTTTTACAAAATCAATGCAGTTTTGCCAGTATACAAATATTATTGTATTTCACAGTAGAGAAGCAGAAACTATAAACTAAGAATGCTAAGACTATTGAATGTTGATAGTAAATTTTCCTTGTCAATTTTTTAGAAATGACGAGGAAGGGTGAGTGTAGAAAGTTACAGCAGCAATCTACTTCTTGCCAAACTACTTCTTGAGCCCCAAACCCACTTCTGTCTTACTCTTCTCTTCTTCTCTTCTGCAATCTCTGAAAAAAAACACACGAGAAAGCAGCATATCAGGACAAAACCTCACAGAAGCAACCAAGGGGAATTCATAAATAACAAGTGCAATATAAAATGGGCGGTAAAATAGTTAATAACATGGTGACAATTTGTCAATTTAGATTCACTTTTAGTATAGGTTAGTTAATTGATGATTTAGTTGGTTAAGGGTTATCTATTTTGGGATTACTCAGTCGCTTAACACGTTTTTGCCACGGTTACTTATTCATGGTTACTTTTTTAAGGGTTACTCAGTTGGTCAACAGTTATTTATTTTGGAGTTACTCACTCGGTCAAGAGTTATTTATTCTGGAGTTACTCAGTCGCAAAGTTATCAGAATCGGGATTCTACTTTGAATCGGTGAGTGGGGTAGAATCGAATCGGTAAAATCGAATCGTAGAATCGTACGATTCTACCAAAATGTAAAATTAGGCTTCAAAATGTAACAAATTACTACATAATTTTATAGCAATGAGAATGATAATAATATATATTGTTAATAACATAATATTGACATACAAACATAAAATAGTTTTTCAAGTAATTTCGCATGCGCATAACTCAAACAATACACTATAAACTATAAAGCCGGATTATTGGTACACATTCTTAACCATGAGAGTATACGGCAGTTGTTGTTAAATTATGAAAAAAAAAATAATGTTGTTGACTCGTAAAGCTGTTTTCCCTAGACCCATGCATAATAAAAAAAAAATCCAGCGATATCTACAACATAACGATTCTACCAGCGATTTACATCGTTTAGGTGGATTAGGATCGTAGAATCGTACGATTCTACAATCTGAATCGCGATTTTAATAACATTGGTCATACAACATACAAAATATTAATGGGAAGTCGAGATACATCTGATAATAACAACAACAACAACAACAATAATAATAATAATAATAATAATAATAATAATAATAATAATAATAATAATAATAATAATAATAATAATAATAAGCTACTAATACAGTGATACAAATAAATTGTATAGTTTTTTTTTTTTTTTGACAAGGATGTAGATTGGCTTTTGTCATTGAATAGCTTAGTTCAATAATTGTAGAAAAGTTAAGCTAAGGCATCACTATTCAACATTGAAGGTTTATTAAAAAAAAAAAAAGTTCACTAAAGTCATTTGATCCTACAAACAATTTTTTGTACCCACGAGTCATTACTATCATGGCAACCATCAATCAATAACATAATACTAAAACAGACACCGGAAATGACATGTGTCACTTCCTAGTGCTGTTTTTTCCCTCCGAAATCCTTTATTTTTTTTACTTTTTATTTTAAAATATACTTATATACCTTCATCAAATTATTAAAATGTGATTTACTTGCCTAAAAAAACATATTGTGAATCAAATATTTTCGTATCTTTTATTGTACAAATTATTATTGAATATCTATACTATTTCATCTATAATGTTTGTTTTTTTTTTGGTGCAAAAGAGGGACTAACCCGAACAAAACAAACAAATAAAAGCAAGAAAAAGAAAAACAAAACAAAACACGAAACAAAAGCAAACTAAGTTCTTTCCACCGGAACCAATCTAGCTCTTGCCACACCACTCAAGTCCTCCAATAAAATGGGCTGAAGGTCCTCCGGGACCGCCTCAAAAATGACCATCCGTTGTGCCAAGTTGACTCCATAGTTCGCTAATCAATCAGCCGCCCGATTAGCTTCTCTATAGCAATGACTAATAGTCACCTTCCAACCATCCCGCGCAATGATAGCCTTACACCGACGAATAATGTGAATGAAGGGAGAGTTAGTTGGGCAAGGCTCAACTAACATACGAACTACATACTCCGAATCCAAAGAGACTTGAACAAGTCTATGCCCAGCGTTCCATGCCACTGCCAGCCCTCGAAGCACACCCAGAAGCTCAACTTTATTGTTCGAACATATGCCACAATTAGTAGCAAACAGCTCAAAAAGTTCTCCAGTATAGCCTCGAATGATTCCTCCAGCACCTGCTTTGCCCGGGTTACCTTTAGACGCACCATCCGTGTTTAAGCATACCCATCCCACTCTTGGAGGCTCCCATCTGATATATTTCTCTACTCGTCTACCCGAACCTCCAGGATTGTACATAATAGGATTTTCCATGGCTTGATTAATATCCAACACCCTTGCCATAATATATGTTGCCTGATCAGGTGGTATACTCGGGGAAGTAGCAAACACCCTCTCGTTTCTCCAACGCCATAACCACCAACAAGCAACCATAAATACTACCTTACAAGCTTCACCTTCCAGAGAGTTATCCTTTTGAACATTGTGCATAATCCATTCAGTACAAGACATAGAGTTATACACTCTATTATCATCCCATCCTAGTTTACTCCAAACAAACCTGGCAGCTGGGCATCCACGGAGAATGTGGTCAATGATCTCATCATTCGCACGACACACTCCACATCTTGGATCATTTGTCATCTTACGCACAAATCTCATCGAATTCGTCATAAGTCTATCCCTTGCTACTAGCCAGAAGAACATTCGAATTCTTTGTGGAACACGGGCCTTCCATATTGCTTTCCATCCTTGGCTTTCTTGAGGGGGAGTGTCCACTTGATTTCGAATAATCTTGATTGCTGAAGAAATAGTAAAACCCCCAGCTGGGTTACCATTCCAAAACAACTCATCAATTGCATCTTCATCATTTAAAACTTCATGAGAAGCAATAATCTCCAGCACATCTGCACTCAAGAAATCCGCAAATAACTCATATCTCCACCCAGAATCGAAGTCCCAATACTCCCTAACTGGATTGTCAATAGTAGCCAAAGGGGGTTTAGGATCAGCTAGCTCATATAAGGGTACAGAAGTAGCCCATCGATGCGTCCAAAAAGCAATTCTATCCCCTTTGCCCATTGCCACACTAAACACCCTTCTTAAGGATATCAATATTTTCCTCTATTCCTTTCCAAGCATTTGAAGCATCCCCTCTAGTCTTAAACATTTCCAAATCACATCTCCCATCACAGTACTTGTTGCGTAATACTCGAGCCCATAGAGAGTTAGGCTCTGTGAGTACCCTCCAACCCAATTTAGCCAAAAAAGCCGCATTAGCTTGACGCATTGATCGGAGTCCCAATCCACCATCACTCTTTGGTTTAGTAACTGTTTCCCAAGCAACCAGGTGGACTTTTCGATTTTGCTCATCACCTCCCCACAAGAACCTTCTTGTTTTCTTGTCTATCTCATCACACACTGCCTTAGGTAACTTCGTAGTCTGCATAGTGAAGTATGGGATAGCAGATAAACAAGCCTGCGCCAATGTATTACGGCCTGCTAGAGACAGCGTCTTCATTTTCCAACTTGTAAGCTTTGAGTTGACTTTTTCAATTAGGTATTGGTAATCCTGCTTCTTGGTCCTACCATTAATTGTGGGAACACCAAGATACTTACCTAAGTCATCAGTGCTAGCCATGCCCAAAGTATCACTAATAACTCTTCAAACATCACCATCAGTATTATTCGAAAAGAAAACACATGATTTGTCCAGACTTACTTTGCTACCAAAAGCCCTACAAAATCTATCCAAGCAACTCTTCATACAAATTGCTTGATCTACCGAGGCATCACAAAATAAAATGAAGTCATCCGCGAAAGCAAGGTGAGAGATATCGGTCCCTTCCTACACGCCCTAACAGCCTTCCAACCCCCAAACTTCACTTCATGCTCAATTAATTGTGCCAACCTTTCCATACAAATCACATAAAGGTAAGGAGACAAGGGGTCTCCTTGCCTAATTCCCCTACTCGGGGTAAAACTATCAGTTGGCTCACCATTCCATAGAATCTGCAATTTAGCCGAAGTGATACATTGCATCACAATATCCACCATTGATTGAGGCAATCGAAGTTCCATCAAAGATTCCCGAATGAACGACCAACAAAGCCTATCATAGGCCTTCTCAAAGTCTATTTTCACCGCCATTATACCTTGCTTTCCTTGTTTCCTTCTCATGGTGTGTAACATTTCTTGGACAATAATAATATTGTCCATGATTTGATGCTTCGGCACAAAGCTACACTGAGTAGGGGAGATGAGAGATGGTAACAAAGGCTTCAACCGATTAACAATCACCTTAGTAACAATCTTATACACAATGTTACACAACCCAATGGGCCTAAAGTGATTCGGTTTTTGAGGAGACTCCATCTTAGGGATAAGCACTATAAATGCATCATTTAATCCTTCCGGAAAGGCCTTTCCATCGAGCACATCCTTCACTAGCTGAATAACACTCGGAGCCACCAAATTCCAATAATTCTGGAAAAAAAAGTGGCTGAAAACCATCGGGGCCCGGGGCTTTGAACGGTTTCATCCCAAAAAGAGCTCGCTTAACTTCACACCCAGTAAAAGGCCGCGAAATTAAATCCCACTCATCCTGACTAATCAACGGAAACTGATCAAACAACAATTTTTCTCCAGTAAAGGGGCTCGGTTCCTTTGTAAACAGGCTGCTCCAATACTTGACCACCATATTCTTGATAGTCGAAGAACAAGTAACCCAAGAACCATCTTCATCCTGCAAAGTATCAATCCGATTCTGCCTCCTTCTGATTATAGTGGAAAGGTGAAAAAGTTGTATTTCGGTCCCCGTCTCGCAGCATATCAACTCTTGATTTCTAGAACCACAAAATTTCTTCTTGGTCTAAAATTTCATCCATCTCCTTCCTCAATTTCAGCCAATCTTTTCTGAATTCCCTCTAATCGAGCCCAAAGTTCTGATTTTTTCTTAAAGATATTATGGAAGATTTCCTTATTCCATGAGGACAAAAAATCAGCAAAAGTGCGAAGAAACGGAATTATGGGAACACTGTTATCCCACTTAGAATGAATAAACTCATCAAATTTGGCATGATTCATCCACGCTGCTTGGAACCTAAATGGTTTTAACGAAGATAGGATATGAGCAAACCCATTCGTGCTGATAAGTATAGGCAAGTGATCACTTCTCAATTTTGGAAGAGTCCGAACAGCCCCTTCATAAAACCGAATTCTCCAGTCATCATTAGCCAGGGCCCGATCCAATCTTGCTGACTTAAATGTATCGACAGAGTTACCACGGAACCACGTGTGGGCTGGGCCGGAAGACCCCAAATTAATAAGAGCATTACCTTCAATCCAATCCGCAAACGCCTTGCATCTACGCACCATCTCTGACCCTCTAACTCCACCATTACGCTCACTCATGCTTGAAGTCTCATTAAAATCTCCTGCGATCAACCAAGGGCCAGAGTCGGAATATCCACCCAATTCATGGTAATTTTCTCTCAAATAACTCTTTGAAACGCTCTCTGTCTCACACTGATTACGCAAAGCTGAAGGAGTAGAGGATGCAATTTCGAAGAGGTTTTCCTTCCCTACACTCAAGCTGGGCTTTGAATAGGGTCCAGAAAATTTAGAAGCAGAATTACCATAATTCTTCTTAATTACCCTAGCAGGACCAGGCAAGAACTCAGAATTTTTTGCTGAGAGCGGAATTCTCTGTCTCATATCTTTAAACTTTCCACCTTGAACAGATATTTTGTCCTTAGAAAACATTCTATTTCCCATAACCAAATCAGTATTGCCATTATTTTCCTTTTCCACTTGGGAAATATTGCCAAGATCAATAGTTGATTGATGCATACTATTCTGGTCCCCCTCACCAATAGACAAACTACTTTGAGAATTTATCTCAATTGCCATATCTTGATCTTCCCCCAAATTAACTGTGGCCTCTTTTGGTAATTCTTGTTGCTCACTCTGCTCCAATATTGGACTTTCCTTACTGTTCGAATTGTTACCAGCTTTCTTACTGTTCGAATTGTTACCAGCCTCCTTCTGCACTGGTACTCTTTGTTGAACGCTGGACAATCATCCATGCTCCATAGGTATCCTGCATTTCTGGCCTCTGTACCTGAGTTGTTTCAACACCATTCTGAGTAGCAGAACACTCATCAGAAACCTCAGCATTTCGAATGCCAAATTTCTTATCCCCAATCTTCTGCAAGAAAGCCTTATCAAAATATTCAACTGAGAGATTTGGAATTCTCACCCACGCTGTCAATTTCTTAATAGGTTCCTCATCCGGGATAAAGTTTGGCACCCATTTACGAATAGACAAATAACTCGCCAATAATCCAAGGCCTTTGAGTCATGACATGATCATAATCATCTAAATTATTGAAACGCACAATATAATATGCACACCCGACATCTGTCAATGCAATATCTCCTTTCAAATTCCATTTTAGCCTTAACCTTCGGATAAGCACTTCATACCCTAATATCGGCATTTTTCATCATCCTCTTCTGTCTCATCAGGGATATCATCATCAGATACATCCTCTTCTCCTATATCCTGATTCTTGAACAGGGGATTGACCGTACTCGCCATACCTTGCATAGCCCGTAAATATGGCCCCTGCTTTTGCCCCCCAGGATTATGGTTTTTATTCGTACCCAACATTTCAACATCCATTGCGTTCTCATCACTAGAATTTTCCAGTTGTCTTTTGAATTTTTTATTTGATCTTTGCAAAAGATCATTTTCCTCGCTCGAAAGCCCTAGGTTTTCTCTCGCTTTTTCGCTCTCCATATTTTTTTTTAATTTTAATACCATAAGCAAATTTTCATCTATAACGTAATATTAAACCATACACTAGGAAGAAACAGACTCTATAAATGACTTGTGTCACTTCCTGAAATCGTTTTTTCCTCTAATTTTTTTTCAAGATGACATCTACTATTTATTATAAAATATACTAATAGTGTTTTTAATAGTTAAATTACTGTGCATGATACGGAACCTAATCCAGCTACTTTACAATCTTCAAGTAACAACATTTTTATATGTTCTAAACATTGTAGGGCCCAATAGTAAAACTTATGGACTTATGGTTCTCAAAGCTGGCCCATGGGGGCTGGGCCTCCACCCGCCCCCTAGACTTTGCCCCTACAGTGAGGGTTGTCTCAAATCTCAATCCAACTACATTGCGATGGTGTAACTTTGTATGTGCCTCTTGCTAACTACGGAGGAATAGACTTCTTATAATGACCACCCTATTTAAATCGTTTTGAGGTATCTACGCCCGGAACATGGTTGTTAAAATAGGCATAGCACAATGTCTTAAGTGCAAAGTCCCCTTGCCAAGGCCTATTGCTTACTACAGAGTAATAGACTTCTTATAATGACCACCCGCATTTAATTTGTTTTGAGCTATCTACATTTGAACCATGATTGTTAAACTTAGCATAGTAGTGATAGTACAATATCTTAAGTGCAAAGTCCCCTTACCAAGGTGACCATCCCTAGCCCCTAGGGTGTGATCACCTCACCAATCGTACTTTCCATTTTAATGAGTATGGTTTTATGTCCTGTACTTAAGTTTAGGAACTCAAATGTAGTCGAATAAGTCAAAAGAAAACCAAAACCTAGTTGCATATCCTCGTAAATAGTTCATCAATCATACCATAGGAAAAAAAAAAAAAAAAACAATAATAAAACCTGACAAGAAAATATAGTAAAAACCGCATAGCATGTTGTATAAGCAAGAGCTTATCATTCTGTGAGCATGCTACACTCATCAAAAGTTCAAAACAAAGGAAAGTCGGAAATGAATTAAAACCCTCAAAAAACACAAACTGAGAACGAGGAACACACCCTTCAATCCGATAGATGATTAGAAGTTCATGATTATAAATGATTACAATCATTATATATAAAATAGGAAAAATTAGAAAAAATAATCCCAACTTTCCTCAATTTTTGTAGAATAATCCCAACTTTCATTTATTCTAGAATAATCCGAACTTTTGGGGTATTCTTTTTCTTCAATCCCAAATACCGGCTACCAATTAATTTTTGACACGTGTAGTCGGTATTTGGGATTGAAGAAAAAGAATGACCCATAAAGTTCGGATTATTCCAGAATAATCCAAAGTTAGAATTATTCTAGCAAAATTGATGAAAGTTGGAATTATTATTTCTAATTTTTCCTATAAAATATGCTTTTAATCCATAACATTTACAATTGTTTATTTGTTTCACATACTTCCATGTAAGGACACTATTCCAATATTAGGAATACTTATCAAATACTTCGTAGTTCTTATCATTCCACCAACAATCTTGGAATTCATATATCCCGACATATACATGAAACCATGTAAATAAATACGAGTAACATACACATAATTTCATGCTCTGCACGTAAAATTTCCATAAATTAATTTTTTCGTATTAGCTCAACCATTTTTTTTTCGTCCTCCCAATGTGTATTCAAAGTCGTCATTTTAGCTCTCCATTTTTAATCCTTAGCTTGGAGAACTCTTGGTGATTATTGGTAGGCAATTAATTCGATTTTACTCCATAACTCACACCAATTTGGGTTTTCTTTTATCCGGCTCCAAACATTCGCAAATGCATTACCAATTACAAATAGAAGGAAATTTGTTAGAGATATGTGTGATATATTTTCTGTAGATATCATTAAAGGAATAATATATTTAGGTTTATTTTATGTTAAAATATATTTAGATCGAGAACATATCTGTAGGATTTATGATTATGTCAAGTTATTTCAATTTGAATCTCTTATCCATCATACACAATATATAACAATGGTTGCATCAATTCAAGGCAAAAATCAAACATATTTCACCTAAAATGAGACTTACAACTACTACTCCCAACATGTCGAAAACTCTTGCACTTTTGGTACAACAGATTACAGATTTTTTTATTTTTTTTTTGACCTTTTGGTACAACAGATTACAGATCAAGATTCAAACGTAAACAAAAATTACGATTCAAAGATGGAACATAGACAATACAACCAAAATCAACAATATCTTCTACAATGCTGCAAAACCGAGTTCATCTACTGAGGAAGTGCGTGGTACGGGCCTTCTGAAGAGATGGGCTGCGGCTGCACCGCGATCACATAGATGGCATAGATGATCCCGGGAATGTATCCCAACAGTGTCAACAATAAACATATCAAGAACTCACACTGCAAAATTAAGTCACTAAATATGTTATGGAGACCAAAATTACTAAGGGGTAACAATTCAATATTTATGCATAACAATCTACAAATACGTGTTCTGGAATAAAAATCCTGGTAACGTATTCCCTAAAAAAAAAAAAAAAAAAATCTACAAATACGTGTTTCAAAAAAAAAAAAGTGTATTAAAAATTGAAGGTTATATTAGAGCCCACAATTGGATTATACTCTATCACGCCCACATCATGTTAAATTCGACAAGGGTAATTGAGATTTAAACCTGTGACTAATTATATTATAGATTATCAATAGCTTAAGCCGATGATCATCAATTAAACAAACAAGCCGTGTGGTAAATTGACATGTAGCTGTTAAAGAGTTAATTCGACCAAAAGCTTAAATGGGTGGTTAAGATCTATGATTATATATATTTTATTGTAACAACAAATTAAAAATACCCATAAAATAAAGTATATTTGTGTCAAGTGATTTCTCACAAAATATCCTACTCGTAATAATTTTATGTAATATCTACAAATAATCAAAATCAAACTAAAATTCAAAGTTAGATATCTTATCATAGGATAAAAGTAGATCCTACTCAACCTAGATTCATAGACAACAAATCAAATCAAAAAAAAAAAAAAACAACCAAATGAGATTAGATTAAATTTCGTCAATACCATTAAACCTTTATTACTCTCGCAACACCGATAATAAGAAAATCAACCGAAAAGAAAGATAGAGAGGGAAAAAAAGACATACACTGCAACAGCCAGTTCTAAGGCAAACGCCAAGAGGAGGCAAAAGGATAGCCAAGAGAATCTCAAAGGCAATATGACACCGATTACTTTCTGCCATTTTTTTGATCCAATAAACTTATCTTTTTTTGTGGTGATATTATGATTGATGAGAAAATAGTAGACTTTATAATAAAATAAAGAGGCAGATATTTAAACATATAATAAATGATGAGAAATTGAGATTCATAAAACACATGACAAGTGGCATTAATATAGATGCACAATGTAATGAATAGTCAAGATAAAAAAAAAAAACAATATTTTTTGTAAGAGTGACAGACCTACCAGGCTACCACTACGGAGATAATTGATTATCTACTAATTTAAGTTTTTGACTGTTCATTGCTTTCAATTTTGCTGGTTATTATTAGCTTTAGTTTATACCTGGCCGACCTCTATTAAATATTTAAATTACCCGCCTCAACTTTGTAACCCATTTAATCTAATTTTAGTCCCAAAAAAAATGAACCATTTATTTTTTTCCCAACATCTATTTAAATCACAAAATAACCAATATATCCTCAAATATATTTGTCATATAGCTCATTCTCCCGATTTTACCCTTGTATTTTTTAGATCTTTGTGTCATCTCTTCTCTAGATTAAAAGATATTGTCTCCATTTATATTTATCTGTAATCCAATCCTTTAACGAAAATACTTTCTTTGTTTTTTTTTTTTAAAGTGTAACAATTTGACTTTTACACTATTTATATGTTTCACTTTGACTAGATTTAACGATTTATAATTAAGTAAAAATATAGTCATGTGGGATCTTGTTAGATTCGTATTGATTTACACAATTTTAATATCAAATGTTTATAATTTTTACATATTGGTAATTAAAAATATAAATGATTGAAAACATGCATTGACAAGCGTGAAAAGAAAAGTGTTGCAACTATTAAAAAAAACAGAGGAAGTATTAGATTTTGTTAACGATATTTTAATATAAATTATTTTTATCACCGATAAGAAAAAAGTGTTGAGTTGTAACAATTGAAAATTTATAACTTAGTATACCTTTCTAATCACTTTTGCAAATTACGTGTTACAAGTATAAAAAAAATAATAATAATAATAAAAAACCTAAGGAAAAAGGTTTTAGTAAAAAAACAGTAACTTTAAAAAAAGAAATGTAATTAATAATCAGTAAAAATAAGGATTTTTTTTAAATAACCACCCTCAAATCATCCTATTTTGAATATTTAAAATAACCACCCATTAAAAAAAATAAAGTTAGAATTCACCACCCATTGTCCATTGCCCGAGTTCGACTAATTTTCCGTCAAGTGGGCCCACCTAATAGTGAGTCATGTAGGAATATAAATTTTAGTGGTAGTCAATTAAATAAGAGATTATTAAAATATTTTATAATTAACTAATTCAAATACCACGTAAGCAAAATCGACGAATGAGATTTTAGCATTTAAATTATAATTAAATAATTCAACTGCCACGTAAGCAAAATTAGCGTATGTGATTTTTAAATTAAAATTAATTAATTATACAATATTATCTTTTGATATTAGGAATTTTATCTAAATATATAACCAAATTTTAGCACATTAATTAAAAAATTCAAACAAACCATGCATTATTGCACGAGCTTCATCTATATAATCTAAATGCAAATGAAATTTACTCTACTTGGTCTTGTTCACTTCACTTTAAATAAATAATAATTAAAAAAAATAAGTTTAGTAAAAAACAGTAACTTTAAAAAAGAATTATAATTAATAATCAGTAAAAATAAGGATTTTTTTTTTAAATAACCACCCTCAAATTACTCTATTTTGAAATAACCACCCTGTTTTCGAATATTTAAAATAACCACCCATTACAAAAATAAAGTTAGAATTCACCAGCTATTGCCTGAATTCGACTAATTTTCCGTCAAGTGGACCCACCTAAACAAGCTGAGGAAGTAGTAATTAAGGGCATGTTCTCATTGACTGAACTGAAATGAACTGAGTTGAAATGAACTGAACTGAAATGAATAATATTTTATAAGAGAAGGAAATTAGGAGCTGAACTGAACTGAACTGAACTGAATTTCAACGTAAGAGAACATACCCTAACTTTGATTGGAGTCATTTAAAACATACGCTAACTTCAAAATCGGGTTGGATTATACAAGTTGGGTCATGTCATGTTTGTCTGCAGAGCGAGGACATCTCTACACACACTGACTAGGGATGGCAATCTAGTCCGGATCCGACCCTACTCTGCCCCGATCCGAGGTAAAATATCCGCTCCGAGTCCGAGAAAAAAGTAATCCGAGTTCGACTCCGTTAAAATAATCCGACTCCGAGTCGGAGGAGGGTCGGAGTCGGATCCTACAAAAATTCCGAGAAAAAAATCCGACTCCGACAAATTTCCGACTTTAACGGATTATCCGACTCCGACTCCAATAGATAGTGAATTTTTGTGTGGGTTATGGTGGCTAGGGCTGTACACCGGTTCAAAACCGGACCGGACCTGACCTGAATGGACTGGGACCTGAATCCTTGATTTTTAAGGATCGGAGACTAGACCTGAATCAACAAGTCCGGTTCCGATCCAGACCTGAAAAATCAGGTCCGGTCCGGGTTTGGACCTGAATAGACCAGATTATTATTTTTTTTTGATTTTTTTAAAATAAGATGAAAGTGCTGACCTGTTTAGACCCGTTTGGACCTGTTATGGACCTGTTTGGACCTGTTTTGGACCTATTTAGGCCTGATTTGACCTGTTTAGACCTGTTATAGACCTGTTTGGACCTGTTTATGGACCTATTTAGATAAAAAAAATAGTTTTACCGGTTTCAGGTCCGGACCTGAAATTTCCGGGTTTTACCCGGACCGGACCTGAAACCCGGAATCCTAGAATTTCAAGGACCGGGACCGGACCTGAATCTGCAGATCCGGATCAGGTCCGGTCCCAACAGGTCCGGTTCAGGTCGGTTTTCAGGTCCGGGCCAGTTTATGTACACCCCTAATGGTGGCATTGAGTGTGGGTTGTAAAGGCCAAATAGCCCAACATCTCAAAGTATATTGAATAATAAAAAAAACTCGGAGTTGGGTCGGATCGGAGTCGGAGTTGGAGGTCGGATATTGAAGTTGGAGTCGGAGTCGGATGTCGGATTTAGCATAATCCGCTCTGAGTCCGACCCGTTGCCATCCCTAGACACACCGGGAACAAATTTTTAAAAAGTGTACCAAACAAAGCCCAACTTTTCAATCTTTTTCTTTTAAAGGGCAAATCTTCAGTTCAATAAACTGTTTCTTTCTCTTTGTTTAGCCAAAAACGTAAAACAAATTTAAATGCCGTCAATCTTCAGATTAATTATTCTTCACACTTTAAACCGTTTTTCAATTCAATTTTTCCTTTATTTATTTGCAAATTTCCACCTTTATTTTCTCTCTCCTCTTCACTCTACTTCACTCCACTCTCACTTTCCACCATGGTAAGCTGTTCATAAACCCTGCTAATACTCCCAAAAAAATTCAAAATTCCATAAACCCTAGAATCAAAATCCCCAAATTTATTAGTTTCTAATCAACCCTTAATCATGGATTTCAAATTCCGTTCAATGGAGGAAAGATCTTCAAGTTACTTCTCTTCTTCCCCAAATTTTTCCACCCAGAATGTCAGCAATATTTCTTACTTTACTCGTCAAGCAATTCGAGGTAAATTCCCAATTTTAATTTTATCTGTTTTTTGATTGGATGTTGTTATTTGTCATAAAGTTTGATTCTTGATTATATTTTCGTTGATTTTTGGATTTTTTTTTTTGTAGCGGGGTTTACTAGTCCAGACCCAATTCGCCGGGAATATAGTCGAAACCCTAACCCTAACCCTAATGAAATGCGGGAATCTATTCAGAGGGAGTTGGAGAAGGAGAGAATTAGAGCAGAAATTATTGCGGAGGAGGTTTATAGGAGGAGGATTTTGGAGGATGAAGTGAGGAGAGAGTTGATGTATGAGAGAGAATTGGCGTTGAGGCGAGGTGAGGGGGAATTTGGGTTTAGATCATCGTCAATGCGGTTTGAAACTAGGGTTCCTTTGTTGACGAATTTTGAGCATCGAATCGGGGTTTCGCCTCACCGGGAAGTCGGGTTTCAAGGGTCTAATACGCTGCCGTTTCAGAGGGATCCTGTTATTGCTGGGAATGTGGATGGAAATGGGGTTTCTGTTGGTGTGAGATTGAAGGAGATTAAGGAAATCAAGGGTTCTGCTTCAGAGATCAATAATAAGGATAAAATTATCTTTTTGGTCAGTAATTCCAATTTCTTTGTTGTTTTGAATTATTTGATTGTTTTGTTAATTGAATTGTTGTTATTTTTGTAGTTAATGTGTATGTTACTTTTATGTTAATGGTTGAATACTTGAATGCATTTGTAGTTAAATGAATGTAATGCTCTTTACATTGATCTAGTTATGTGTTATACTCGTATGTTGTGAGCAATTCCCCTGTTCATTATGTTTTTATAAGCTGTATGCTGCAGCTTTTTAAAGTAGGATTTTTATAGTTTTTGCAGAAATTTGAAGTCCATTATTGGTACCTTACCTTACTGTACATGTGTGTTTTATGACGGGCTTCTGTTGTTTTGTACTCCATATGATATAATGATTGACTGTTATGTTGGACTGTAGAGATCCCATTCTACCCCCGTAACTTTGTTTTTTGTAATGCTGCTTGGTCTTTTGATGAGTGCATGAGCTCTCTGTTGTCAAAACACTCAAAAGAAATGGAAGAATTACTAACATTATTTTATTAGCACCTCATTCTATTACTGAGCACACTAGTTTGTAATGCTTTGATCATTTATCAAAAATGACGATTAAGAACCCCAATTTAAAGTGTGTTGTTTAGTAATAGTAAGTTAGGAGAGTTGTTCAAATGAAAGGGGAAGCTAACAAACCACACCAACATTGGAGGAACTCTTTGAAAGATGTCAAGAAATGTTCTTGTCTTGTTCTCTTGATTAGCTTTCAAATATTGCGATCTTCATGGAACTTGCTTTGCAAAAAATCATTTACCTTTTGGGGCTCAGGAAAAAAATTTCCTTCAATTGGAGTAAGAGCACTCCTCTGTTGGGCACGTGGCTGTCTGGCATATGTGGGGCGGGGGCAGAGGTTGACAATGAGAAGTAGCCTAAAGCCCTAAATACAATCTTCAAGTTTGCCATTCAAAAATTTCTGCTGTCTGCTCTAACTTCTTACCCAAATTCCAAAAATTATTATGAATGGCGCATATGTTAATAAGTTATTTAGGCTTTCTAATTAATACACCTATTCTCTTTCTTTTTCGTGACAGTTCCTCATATTGTTTGGTTGCTTCCTTCCTCTATGACTTCGAATTATTTTCATTGGCCATTTTGCCCAGTTTATTGTAGAACTTTTTACTCAGACACATTAAGGATGAGGATGTTGAATATTTTTCTTAATCCAGCTCCTTTTTTTAGCATCACAGCTCTAAACCAAATTGATGCTTCACATTCTTGAGTTCTTTCACAATAATCTTTGTTTTACTTGTTGGCTGCAATGCTGCATTGCATTGAATATCTATGGATCGCAATATTTCTTGTTACTCTTGAGAACAGATACTGAATTTCTTTTGACTGTTTCTAGATACTGATTCAATGTGGTTTTCTTTCTCTTTTGCTTGATCAACTTTGTTAACTTTTTTATTGCTTAACAATACATTTAATGGGTGATTGTGGATGTGACAGATAGACTTGTGCATGCTGCAGGACTCTGTTCCTATTTGGCTGATTTGAAAACCTGGGGTAGCGATTATTGTCAAAATGATGACCGTCAGAAACCTCTCTTAAGGTGGTCAATTAGTTCTATAATAAAAAATTCTTATCATCTTAGAGTCATAAATCCATGTTTCCATGTAAATTGTTTAGTTCGGATGATCCTTCTTACAAATTTTTTTGAGTCTGCATTACTCTTTAGAAGCTATATAATTAGCAGTGGATGTTAACAGTAACTAGCATGCTCCAGAACTTTTATCTGTTCATATGTATTCGGGAAACTTTCATTTTTATAGTGTGAGGCTTGATGACTGTCTTAGTTGATATCTTCAAAATCCTGACATTCTTCTCACTGGGATTCAAGGGTTTTCATGTTTTATTTATTTATTTATTTTTAGAAAAAATTTGTTTTTGTTATTTTTTAAAATTTTAGATATTGAATTTAGCCATATTTTTGTGTTTGATGGGTGGTGACGCTTTTGAAAGTTGCACTCTACATCTGTTCTTATTATCCTGTAAGTTTATGTTTACATCTATTCTTATTATCTAGTAAGTTTATGCTACTTCTTCAGGTTACCCTAGGACATGTCATTGAACTTTGAGCTGGTATGGAGACTCGTAGAATGAATTGGGACCTACCAGCCTATGGGCAAGTGCAAAGGAAGACACTGTATACGGACCCAACCCTGGTTTATATATTCCTATCCACACCTTACTGTTAGGTACCATAACTATAAAATATCCATCTGCTACCAGATATACAGCATACAAGGAAACCAACTCCTACGCTTGGCAGTTACCTGTTATCCCCCATACCAGCTCGGATGTATCTGCAGCCATCATCTTGAAGCCAAATATCCTGATGATTACCCATTATGTACTCCTACCAGATGCATAAACACAAACAAATTCCTACTCTTGCTAGTTACTTTTATCCTTCAAACTAGTTAGCCATCATATTGAAGTCATCTTTACCCTACTTTATACAGCTACCCTGGTGATAAGTTTACGTAGTTCTAATCACTCTCCTATAATAGTGTTGAAGTCATCATGTTGAAGTCATCTTTACCCTACTTTATAAATAGCTGTCTATAAGTTGGTTATACAGGTACCCTGGTGATAAGTCTACGTAATTCTAATCACTCTCCTATAATAGTGTTGGCATACACTGTTATATGCTTTTTTTCTTGCCCTTTGTCAGTTTCTCTTATAGTGGGAAGGGATTAAAGAATCCACCATGTGGATATGGGTGTGTGTGGTTTACCTGTTGCTATCCTTATACTTCTGTGTTGGTGTTATTTCTTTGTAGGGTGAACAAATAACATGTTTTTTTATGTTGTACCTTGGTGATTTTTTTTCCCAATGAGTTACTATGAGCATTGCAACAGCTGCTTGTATCTATCTTATTGTTACTTGGAAACCTTCTTTTCATTGGTCTTATTTATGCTTTTAGAAACAAACTGGAATTTCAATGTGCCATTGCCATGGCAGTGCTGTTGGGCTTTCACCATTTACTTTTCTGTTTGTATTTTCTCTGAGCATAATTGCAGGCTAAGCCCAATACAACTGAGTTGAAGCGTAAAGCGACAACACCACCAATTGGAGCTACTGTGGACACATGTGACGTGTCAAAGAAGCCAAAAAGCAAAGATGAGTGGAGTTGTGCTCTCTGTCGTGTTACTGCTACAAGCAAGCGGGCATTGGATGATCATCTGCAAGGGAAAAAACACAAGTCTCGAGAGAGTGGATTATGCTCTCAGAGAACAGGCTTTGGTACTAGCCCATTACCAAAAATGGGTAGTGCTAGTGCAGGCAAGCCTGTCAAAGTACCTGGCGCAACTGAAAGCCCAAGCTTTCAGTTGGAAAAAGTTGAAAATGCACCAGCAGTATCAGAAACTGACAATAAGTTTACCCTCTTGCAGGGAAAGGAGACTTGTATAGAGAAAAAGAAAAATAAGAAAGCAGCTACACCTCAAAAATCACCTGCATGTGCTGAGTCGAATAAAAAGTTCAAATTTTTTTGCGAACCATGTCAGGTTGGAGCTTACTCTATGAAAGTGATGAATGCCCATAAGAAGGGCAAACGTCATTTGTCAAAAGTTGCGAATATCAATAAAGCTGAGGATGCTGCTTCAGTTAAAAAGCCTGCACCAAAAGGTGCAGCTGAGGAAAATAAAGATAATAATAAGGAAGTAGATGTGGCTGGTTCTGTGGAGAATGTTATGGTTGAAGTTAAGGAGGAGTTAGATATTGCTGCTGTGAAAGAGATAAATAATGAAATTGAGGGAGAACTTGTTGAAAGCTGCAAAGAAAATGTTGATTGTGATGTGGATGAAAAGAAGGAACTGGACATTGCTGCTGTGGAAGAATTGAAATTTGAAGTAGAGGAAGAGCAAGTAGAAAGCAGCAACGAAAACATCAGTTGTAATGGGGCTGGAGTTGATCAAGGCAAGCATAAGGTGCTTGAAGTTGTTTATTGGTGATTTAGTGTTTGCTGTAAAGGATGAAAATAACTAGGTATTTGTCAGTATTGACTTTTAACCCGGTTGCTGAACAACCGTCGTGTAAACTAATTGACTGTGAAGAGGCAAGAGATATACAGTAATGATCTGCTGAAATCTCTGCACTATAAGCTCCAATGTAGTCTGCCTGGTGATTTGTTTTCCAGTATCATGTTATAGTGACTTCCTAAATAGAGGTCCACTTAGATTGTCCGTTGCTCGTTATGAGTATTTGATGGAACCTCCATCCTCCTGTGAATAAATTATTCTGTCTTGCAATTTGTTTTCGTATAATTTTACTCTGATCATTAGAACTGGAAGATACATTGTTTCAGTTTGTTGCCTTGATGTTAAGTGATTTGAAAATTTTCAACCCCATTTAAAGAAACGGGTTGGAAAAGTTGACATTAGCCCAACCAATGTATGAAGCAGGTTACCAAAATATGTTTACTCATTAGGAATTCGGGATACTATGATAAAATAGCATGCATTGGTAGGAAAGTGTATATTTTTAGTCGAGGTCTCTTGGTTGATATGTTAGATCAATTTTCACATTGTTTGCTCGGTAGGCAGTTGTATTGGGCGAGCAAGCAACAGGGTCTAGGTTATGTAAAGCGTCGTCGTCAGATCTGTGATGAAGATGTATGTTTGTAGTTATGCATGTGTACAATTTATCTGAGACTGCCTCACGTTTGTCTTTGAGTAGTACTTGCAACATGCAGGTTATTCATGACTTGTCGTTCAGCGGTTCAGGTTGCCTATGCTTTGTTTAGTCTATTTCTGTTGATTTATCCAGTACTCCGTTATATATATACAATATAGTATATACCCCCTTCTCAAACTATTTGGAACACTTTTCTCATTTTCGTTTGGAACATATCTGGCAATGTGCTATCATAATACGGTGTACATTTTTAAGCTTCATTGCCAATAAGTTATGGTCACACTCACACTCTCCATTATCTTCTACTCGGTCGCAAATTTATATTTTCAATGCAATTTTGATTAAATTGAGTGACTCAATTAATAAACGGAGTAATATTTTTTTTTTCTTTTTATGGAAATATACGAAGTAAATTAACTAACACCAAGATTTAAAAAAAAAAAAAAACATTTGAGATAGTTAAAGTTTGCATTGTTCCAATTTTGTATGTTTTATCAATTTCTTATTTCAATTGCCAAACTTGACAAATCAAATCCAATCCAATATAATCTCATACGATAAAAAACATTTGAGATAGTTAAAGTTTGCATTGTTCCAATTCTGTATGTTTTATCAATTTCTTATTTCAATTGCCAAACTCGACAAATCCAATCCAATCCAATCTAATCTCATCCGATTTCAATTAAAAAAAAAATCCAAATTAAACCCGAAATGAGCCCATTTTTAAAATCCGAATCCGAATCCGAATAAAGGTGGATAGAATTATAAGAAGAATATAGAATAAATTCACTTATACTTCCTCGGAGGGGGAAGTAATATTATTATCTCACCACCTTCTTTGCTCCGATCCACTTCGCCGGTGACGGAGTTATGACGCCGGAGCCGCCGCCTTTTCAGGAAGCTAACCGCTGTGACGTCTGTAAATGCAGCTTCAACGCTTTTCGTCGTCGGGTATTTCATCAATTCTCGTCTTTTCCATCGATTTCATTGAATTCTGTTTTAAATGTTTGATTTATTGAAGTAATTATAAATTTGAAGGATAATTTTATGTAATTTAGTTAGCTCAATTGTTGAATTATCTGGAATTTTGCAATTTAAGGTATGTTTTAATTGATGATCAGATCTAATTTATCAGGGGATGCTGGAAATTTTGTTGGATTAAGGATTTAGGTTGTGCTGTTAGTTTCTGCTTGATGATTGGGGTTTTTTTTATAGCAAGTTTAAGCTTTGATTTGATTATAATTATTGCGGTTTTGTTCAAACGATGATCAATTAGTTTGATGGGGATTTTGTGTGCTGATTTGATCAATTATGGTTGAGTTAGGTTTAAGTTCTGGTATATTGATACAAATTCGGACTCGAAGGGTTTTCCGCCTTTTCCAGTGGAATGCAGGACGGATTAAATTAAGGGTTTAAAGTCTTTTAACAGTGGTGGAGTATGCATTTTTTTAGTTTGTCATTCATTTTTGTTAGAAAGGTTGCCCATTTTCAGTGGAGTTGAGCAATGGCGGATCCAAGAATTCCATTTGGGGTAGCATTAATATTTAACTCTACAATATAAGCCACTTTAAACATTATAACCCTTGAGTTGTGAAATACTAAAATTAATAAAAGGAAAGTTCTTCTGATAATTGAATTTTAGATCGTGTACTTACAAAATATGAAAAGAGAAGAAAAAGGAAATGTTTAACTCTTGCTTTACCGACTAGCTTCACAACTCACCCCATGTCCCCACTAACAAATTCATTCGAAGACGAGAAGGGTCAGGAACTCAGGACTATAACAATGATTGATGCAATTATTAAAAACAGTCGATGTAATCTGTATATCCCACTTTTTAAGGCATTGTAGTAAGATTGATGGTATAATGGCTAAGGTTTAAGAATGTTGTGACGGATAAGAGTTAGAAGAGGGAATTGATGGTGCTACCAAAGACCAGTAATTTTCTCAAGTATACATCTTTATTTTCTCGCTTTGCTCTTCTCATGTTTTCTTTCTTTTGCAGCATCATTGCCGATGTTGTGGGAGGACCCTATGTAATGAGCATTCATCTGATCAAATGGTAAGGATCTTATATGATTTATTCTCCTATTTAGCTTTTGATATTTATTAAGTTGGTCTTTGTTGATCAAACTACATCTCATATGTTAGTAATTGCTTTTTCTTCAGCCTTTACCACAATTTGGCATTCACACCAATGTTAGAGTTTGTTCTGATTGTTTCAACAACTTCTCCAAGTAAGTGTTTTTCCACAGGTGTCTACTTCTTTTTAGGACCATAATTTTCCTATTCTATGTGAGTACGTGGTAGTGAAATTTTTGTATCTCCATTATGTGATAGGTGTCTATGACGGTAATATGTCTTGATAAGAAGTTGAGGAAGAGTGGATGGTGTAATAGAAACACTTCTTATTAAAACTCCTGTAGTCTTGCACCTGCTCCTAAAAGAAAATCACTTGAATATTGGACATGATGGTTGATACTCTTGAATATTTCCTCAGCTATCAATCTCATGCTGTACTAGACTTTATAGAGTGTATAATCTTGTAACAGGGAAGTGTTCACTAGTCAGTGATCAGTCTGATATTCTGATTACTTGTTCTAGTACTTCCAAAATGCAATTAGAGAACTAGATGATGCTTTTAATATGAAGCTATCAAACCATTTCCCATTTCCCATTTCCTGTCGAAGAAGGTAGAGACAAGTTATGGTTGTTAGAGATTTACCTTGTATTTTCACATACCAAAAAAAAAAAAACTATGTTTCAATGAATAATTTTCTTTGGCCGGTGATTATTAAACGATGTATGTGTGTTCTCTTATGCTCCCATCAGGGCCTATTTCTAGTGTAGTGGCCTGCATGTATCCTTGTCGTGTTTGACGTGAACTCTGTGTCAGGTAACCTTAACTCATTTTCCTCCTAAAGAATAGCCTTACAAAATTTTATTTGTAATTGATGAAAAATTTAAGCTGAGCTGATAATGAAATTTTTATTATTAATGCATCTTGTGACTCTAGAATAACTTTTGGGAGATTCATCCTCAACATGTAGTATGGAAGGCTTTGTCATGTCACTGAAAGAAAGATGAAGCTTGTTCACTAACATGTCTTAATTTTGGGCTCTCAGTCCTATTTCTACGTTATGCTTGAGATTCAATCGTTATTCAGAGCAGTCGAGACCTTCATTCGTAATCTGTCTTGTTTTTTCTGTTGATTTGTGTGAAGTTGTACAAGTTTCTGAGCAATAAATTGATTTTATTTTGGTGTAGATCTACAGATGGCAGTGTAGGGCCTACAACACAAAGTAATCATTCAATCTCAGAAGCTATTTCAACTTTAGACTTAAATGAAGATTCAGGACATACAACTTCATCATCTGCACTGCAGCCACCTGTATCAAATATTTCAGAATGCAAATGTGGTATGCCTTTGTGCATTTGCGTGGTTTCACTTCCACCTGCTCCAGCAGCTCCTGTTCAGGTTAAGAAACATCTATTAATACTTGCTATCTAGTCATTTGTTTCATCTTTCATGTGTCAGAAACTCGAGGAATTTCTGACATAAATGTTCAATTAGTACGTACGTGTTATCTTTATTTTGCTGTGTTTTCCATTTGCTCAAAAGCAGACTGTATACACTTCTTCAGCAACTTTATCTTCAACAACAAAGAAGACAGATGGCATTTCAAGGCAAAGACGTTCTGCTCAAGATAGCAGACAAGGGTATGTTCACACTTGTCTTCACACTTAGTTTATAAGTTGATTTCAGAATGTGCGTTAGATCTAGAAGACACCTAACATCTACTTCATACATACTAAATTCTGAAACTGTATGATTGCTGTTTAGATTTGTACAATTGTGTAATACATATTTTGGAACACTCCAAATTCAACACCTTCTATTAGCTTTTTTATCATTAACTATAGTATGAGAGATTGAGAGGAAGAAACAATTTTTAATACCTTGTTATATTTTTTTTTTTTTTTGTACTCTTATGGTCTAAACATTATCCATTCAAATTTGATTGATTTCTGGAAGTTCTCTTGTAACCACCTAATGTTAATATTGCTTGCAGTTCAAGTGTCAGTGTTGGTCCTTCAGCTAGTGGTTCAGAGAAACCTCAGGCAAATTATGAAGTGAATGGGGAGGTATGCAGATTATAGAGTAGATTGTCCTGTAGCAAGGCTGACTTTTTTCCTTATTAATTATGCGCTTGATTGAGTTTAGTTGTGCTCTTTTTGCTTCTCAGGGCTTAAGAGAAGCAATTAAAAGTGGTGATCTTGCTGGAGTCAAGGATCTTCTTAAAAAGGTATTTGCAAATTTTGCTCCCCTCTTGCTTTGATGCGATGAATTCGATGATCTTAAACTAATATATCTACTTTCTTGTAGGGTGTGGATTCAAATTATTGTGACAAGCAAGGATTGTCGTTGCTTCACCTGGTAAATATCTGTTTTGGAAGATGACTTTCAATTTCCAAACGAATGCAGTTTGGTGGTTAAAATTGACAATTATGTAAGGTTTTTTCTTTTTCCCCCCTTTTTGATTAAATGGTGTCAATCTTTTTTACAGGCTGCAGTTTTCAATCAAACTGAAATAGTTTTTTGCCTTATGGATCATGGTGCTAGATTGGACTGCAAGAACTCCCTAGGTAATTATACATGTTATTTTTAGATTTTTGTATGTTGTTGTTGCAGGTGTCTAGGGGTGATAGTGAGCCAATCCTAACTTTGTAAAAAACCTGGAAATTGTAACCAAGTAAATGTCTTTTTTATGTTTTAATACTTCTTTTAAGTAGATCATCTAACTTTGTAAGATCCCGTTAGTGTTGTTCACTAGTATGAGATTGGGTACGGGTATGCAATTTGCTACCACGTATTGTTAAATTAGGCCAAAATGTACCACTTTCACATATTAATTTGCCATTCTTGCTTTGTGGGGGCAATTAGGTAAGCATGGTCCTTGTAAATTCTGTGCCACATTAATTAAGTATAAATTACAAGTAATTTTATGTATATGTGAAATCATAGAATGCAAATATTTTATAGCCCCACAAGTTGAGCTTAGCCCATGAAAATCTCAAGCCGATAACAATTTGCTCATGAGCCAGCTAGGCCTATTAGCACCGCTTGGGATGTCCAAATATATCTTAAACCAGAATGAAAATTGTACAGGACTTAAAAGCTTTTGAAATTTCCCTAATAGTTACATGGTGCAATGATGTCTTCTATATCACACATTCCACCTTAATGGTTACATGACTACATGGCTACATCTATGATCTGTATACACCTTACAGGTTCTAGGTAACTTGTTTATTGTCCTGCTCATAAAACATGTGTTGAGATCAAATCTATAAGGGCAGTAAAGAATAGAGCCTGAACGCGATCTTTTTGCTTTTTTTAACAAATACATATATAGTTACTATTGACTCAGAGTAGCAATCTGTAATTACCATTTAACATCTTGCAGGGGAGACGCCGTTAGACTGTGCCCCCGCCACTTTGCAGTACAAAATGAAGAAAAAGATAGAGGGAGAAGGATTGGCATGACGGTCAGTGTTCATTTCCTCACCTCGCAAGAGACTAGGTCTCAGTTTTGCATACCAAATGATGGCTATGCTCTTGCTGCTGTATCTGTAACCTATTGTATTATTATGAACTAGTTGAGAGATTCCCAGCGTTGAGTGAAGTTTTGTACACTCAACACGGTTAGAATTTGCCGTTTATTCCTTATTTCCCTCTTAATAAAATTTTTAACCAAATAATTGTCGAAATTAGTGAGTTTCGCCTTTTTGAAACAGTACAGTGGTCAAAGTGGACAGGAATAACTCAGACTTAAGGTGAAAAGCATTACAGGTACAAAATCAGGGTGATGCAACTTCTGCTGCTGAAAGTTTGCTAGATTAGAAGAACAATTGGTTTCCCCTTTAGAAAAGACGCCTTTTCTTCTTTTTTTGGCAATGTTAATGATATGGTATCAGATAAAATAATCCAGCATAAAAGTAATAAAAAAAGGTGTTTATGTTTCCAAAAGAAGTCAAGCAAAAGTATAAGCTTGAAAAATTTACAGAAATGTTACATGATTCTTTTCTTGTTAGATTCCCCCTTTTTCCCTCTTTCAGGCTACGAATCAAAGGTTTTGGTATCAAATTCCTTATCATAACTTCATGAATTCTCTTTCCCTTTCTTTCCCATTATTCCAGCATTTGTTTGTCTTTTAACATTTACTCAAACTCCTACATATAATCGCTTCAAGGCCGACCACAACCACAAATCAATGCAAGAAAACAAAATCACAGAAAATGGGATCACACGAATCACACGGGTGTTTGTTGTTCTTTATAATTGGTGCATGTTTAGTGGCAGGCGGTCTGGGTATGGGTGTCAACTGGGGATCGATTTCGACTCATCCTCTACCCCCGGAAATAGTAGTGAAGCTGCTCAAGGACAATGGGTTTAACAAAGTAAAGCTCTTTGAAGCAAATCATGGTCCGCTTAGAGCTCTTGGAAATTCAGGTATTGAAGTTATGGTAGGAATTCCTAATAATATGTTAGCATCCCTTGCTGGAAATGTTCAGGCTGCTGTCAACTGGGTGAACCAGAATGTCTCCACTTATGTCTCCAACAGCGGGGTTGATATAAGGTAATAACGCGTGCATATATCGTTTTAATCACTATATATGTCATGCATTTGTTTAGCTAAATATGTTTTTTTTTTCCATAGAACTGCAAAATCTGGATGAACATTAACATCTTTAAAATGTCAGATATGTTGCTGTTGGAAACGAGCCATTTCTAAAAGATTACGGGGACCAATTCACCCACACTACACTTCCAGCACTGCAGAACATCCAAGCTGCCCTTATCAAAGCCGGCTTAGCACACAAAGTGAAGGCTACAGTCCCATTAAATGCTGATGTCTACCAATCTGATACCACTCTTCCTTCAGGAGGCAGCTTTCGAGCTGATATACATGACCTCATGATATCTATTGTCAAATTCCTCAATAATAATGCTGCCCCTATAATGGTTAACATATACCCATTTCTCAGCCTTAACAGTGACCCCAATTTCCCCATGGATTTTGCCTTCTTCGAGGGTGGATCACACCCTATAGTCGATGGCCCTGTTACCTACACCAATGTCTTTGACGCCAACTATGACACCCTTATAGCAGCCCTAGAGAAGAGCGGCTTCCCTAACATGCCCATTATTATTGGGGAAGTAGGATGGCCTACTGATGGTGCTCCTAATGCTAACATAGCCAATGCTAGAAAGTTTAACCAAGGTCTTGTCAGTAGGATTGTCCAAGGTAAGGGCACTCCTAAACGCCGTACACCCCCAGATGTTTACATATTTTCCCTCATTGACGAAGATGCAAAGAGTGTAGATCCAGGGAACTTCGAGAGGCATTGGGGGATGTTCAATTATGATGGCAGTTTAAAGTATCAATTGAACATGGGAAGGGGTAAAACACTTGTTCCTGCAAAAGGGGTCAAGTATTTGCCTAAAAAGTGGTGTGTTATGTCTCCTCAAGCGAGTCCTTCTCCTTCAACTATTGCCAGCAGCATTAGCTATGCTTGCCAATTTGCTGACTGCACTTCACTTGCATACGGCTCTTCTTGTGGTAACTTGGATGCTCGTAGTAACGCGTCTTATGTGTTTAACATGTACTATCAGACCAAGAACCAGAGTGCTGGTGCATGTAATTTCAATAATATGGCAATGACTACTACAACTGATCCTTCACAACGTGGATGTAGGTTCGAAATTATGATCGATATTACTAAGTCTCCGAAGAATGGGAGCCCTTCTCCATCATCATCGTCCTCGAGTTTGCTAAAGGCAGTGAGTATGATCTCGGTTATGGTGGCATTAACCATCAGTTTTGCACCCTGAGTTTGGTGTTAAACAAAGAGTACTTCGATTTTTAAATGTAGGTTAAGGAATAAGGAATGCATTATTTGTACATAATAAATTGTTTCAACATATTTTATGGTGTATATATATTTTGATTCTTGAAGCTTATAATTATGTGAACAGAAAAATTGCTCAATAAGGACAATAACCCCTTCTTACCAATTTGAGTAACACTCATTGACATCCCCATAGTACATCTATGTTGAGAATCACAAGTTTAGTGAGCAACGTTGTTACACTTTACTTTCTTCGTTTCACTAAAATCGCAACACTTACAGTGGCGGATCCACTAGCACAACTACCCCTTAAAAAAATATAATAATAATAATAATAATAATAATAATAATAATAATAATAATAAATAAATAAGTAAATAAATATAGTTCAAAGAGAGTATTATAGATAATTGGTCTCTTAGAGGCTGCCATAACAAATTTAATACTAACTTCCGTTGCTTACCTTTTTAACATAAAAGAGACCTGTCTTTGTTGTTTAGAGAGCCACAAGGGCGGGGGTGAGAATCGATCCCAGAATCTCTGAAAATCGGGAGGGAAGCTTTAACCACTTGAGTTATCCCTCACTCTTTCATAGACCTGTCTTTGTGAATTGTTCTCTTAGAGGCTACTATAACAAAATTAATACTAACTTTTGCTGCTTTCCATTTTAACATAAAAAGAGACTTGTCTTTGTGAATTGTTCTTGAAAGATGTATGGAATATTTTCCTTAAGCTTTGTTATTGCTTTTCACAGAATATATATACAAAGGGTTAATAGCATTATCCTAGGCTACAAACTAGGAAGTCAAACTACCAAATACTAGCTTTTGCTGCTTTCCTTTTTAACATAAACACCTGTTTTTCCAAAAAAAAAAAAACAAGTCTTAAGAAATATACTACCTCCGTTACATATTATGTGCAACGATTAGACATTTTCCTTCTCTACTTTATGTCAAATCGTTGCAAATAATATGTAACGGAAGTAGTATTTAGCTTTTCAATGGTATGCACAACACCGTGCTTGTGAAATGCCATTTAGCTTTTCATGTATTAGCGCTTGTACTTAGGGGTGTCCGTTCGGACTTTAGATTGAACTGAAGCCTAGTCCAATCCAATCCGAAATATATTTAGACTCTCATTTTATAATCCAAATCCAAATCCAAAGTTTTCAAAAATCCAATCCAATTTAATCCAAATTAAAATCTCATTCTCCGAATCCAGTCCAATCCAATCCGAATTAATAATAAAAAAAATTTCCTAAGAAATTCAAAAGAGTCCTAACTTCGATAAACAAAACAAACTTTAAATTGTAATTAGGGGATTTGGCGGATTTGGGCTATTGGGTTTGGACTTTCTAATGCTATATGGGTTGAGGTTTATAGTATTACTATTACTATTTATTTTATATATTTATTTATAAATTCAAATTATTTGGACTGAATTGGACTTTTTAGACTTAAAAAATTAGAGTCTAAATCCAATCCGAAAATCCGAATTTCAAAATTTTTGAGTCCAAATAAAAAAAAGTTTAATTCGAATAGCTTATTTGGACTGGATTGAATTGGATTTCGGACTAGAGTCCGAATAATGGACACCCCTACTTGTACTGAGTCATTTGTTGGCATATCTTCCATAATAAAAGTAGTTAAGATTCTCTCTCTCTCTCTTTTTTTTTTCCTTCTTTGTTCTAATAGTTTAATTAAGATTATGTAGATCAAATCATAATTGATTAGTGAAAAGTCAATGGTTTTATTCTAAAAATTTGGACAAAAATATATGGTAAGAGAGAATAATACAGTTAACATCTTTATTTATTTGTTTTTTTTTTATGCAAACCGTTAACATCTTTTGTGGTCAAGTAAAAAATTGTATATAAAAATATTTATTGGTGAATTTGTTGCACTAAAGGGCACACATTAGAAAAACCGTTAAACAAATAGTTAAAAGGTCATAGTTGTACTCCGTATTATTTTTGACAAATTTTCTTATACGAATTGTCGAATTGTATAGTAGAATCTTCTAGTATAAAAACTTTAAAGCAATGTTATAGCAATTTTTTTTGGGAAAAAATCAACTACTATAAAAAAAATATAACTTGTGGATAATTTGATTTAAATTATGGAAAGATTTATTAGATTTTTTTTTTGAAAGATAAGATTTTATTACTTTTTTTTTTTAAGCAAGATAAGATTTTATTATATTTGATTTAATTATGGTAATTTGATATTTTACAGGATTAGAAAAGTTTTACTTAGAGGTTTTAGTTTGTGTGAGTTATTATATTAATTAAAATATTGGCACCTTAAACATTTATCTCATAAAAGACTCGTGAAAAAAAATTAATAAAAAAAAATCGGGTTTTAAGTTCTCCGTTGAGGCGCACTCAACGTTCTCCATTGAGGCACTCATCGAAGCAGCTTCTGTGTTCTGAGGTTAGTTGTTGTTTCCTTTTCTCATCCTAATTTCAACTCACAATTTAGGGTTTATTCTTCGTCTCATTTTATTATTTGTTAGTTTAGGGTTTAAAAATCTTAACTTTTGGTTTAATTTACTTAAATTATGAGTTTATTTTTATAATTGAATCGTATATCCCTAAAATTATTTGATTTTTCGAGCTTTATATCACGAGTTAATCAAATATCCTTAATTGAATCGTATGTGATAATTCAATCACATAATTTCGAGCATAATTTGATAATTGAATCAATGAGCCTAATTTGATGATTGAGTCGTCTACCCCTAATATTTATGTGATTTTTCGATCCTTAATTGATCATTGAATCAAATAACCAAATAATATACGATTTTTCGAGCTATAATTGATAATTGAATGAAGCATCCCTAAATACATGTGATTTTTCGAGCCTTGGCTGATAATTGCATCAAATTTCCCAAAAAATTTGTGATATTTTAAGCCTTGATTGATAATTGAACGTTGCTAATGTATCGCAGAACCCTTTAATTGTTTCTCTATAGTTTTATACTTGTATACTACTACCTCCGTTAGAGGTTGCAGTACACATTTTTCCTCTCTACTTTATGTCAAATCGTTGCACATAATCTGTAACGGAGGTAGTATATATCACGATTATGGTATGATCTGAATGAGAAGAAAGTGAGAGTTGTAGAAATCATTTTTAAATTAGAGAGTAATTTCAGACTTTGTTGGTGCAGAATTTGATATAATGGATTATCCTCGTTTAAGTTCAGCAATGGAACCAGGCATCAAAGTTAAATCGTGGGCATTCAATGAAGATCCTGGTGATAGCCAGAGGCCAGTCGATGATTTCTTCACCATCTACTTAAATTATTATGGGAGCACGAGCACTACTGGGACATTAAAGTTGAAGAGAGAAAGTAGTGATTGGCATTTTGATATCATGAATTGGTTTGCTGAGCTTGATGTTGATATGGATGCTTGGGATTGTACCATGAATGTTGTGGTGAAAAGTTGTGAGATTTTGCTCAGGCTTGTTGCTCAATCTGCCCGCAAGTCTCTGGAATTCAAAGTTGAGGTTTTCCTAAAAGATGAGGATCATGATCACCAAGAGGAAGTGGATTACCTGCTCATGTATTCTGATGGCATTCGTACCAGCTCTCGTGACATAAAATCTATTCTCCAGGATAGTGGAGTCAGGTTTGATAACGGCCATTCAAGAACTATGAATAATTGTTCGATATGTTTAGAGAAGTTTGGGATGTCAAACAATGTGGCGACACTTCCTTGCTTTCATATGTATCACGAAAAATGCATGATTCGTTGGGCTTTCCAAGGAAAACGAACATGTCCATTATGTAGATTGAAGATAAAAGGGTAGTGTTGACTTATACAGGGAAACTTTCATTGGGAAGACTTTGTGATTTGATTATAAAGAAATATGCACATTAGACACTGTCTACCCGAGAAGGCTCTTCAAATTGTTAGTCTTGTGTGCTCTCTTAAGTTAGGATATTTAAGAGCTCTAATTTTTAGTGCTACCAATTGTGTAATTTTTAGTATAAGAATTTTCAACTTTGTGAAACTATCAGGATTATCAAATTCAATGTACTATTTGCATCTGTCAATGTTAAAGATTATTCCTGTTTTTTACTTCCTCAGTTGCTTCTTATTTATTTATGACAATGTTAAAGCTTCCTAATTATTATCTGGTGTAAGGTATTTATGCTACAATGGCAGTTTGGTTGTTTATAAATCTTGTTAATTTTCACATCTTTGACACCTTCTGTTTAGCTCTCCTGTATTTCTTCTGCATCTTCCTGTTTTAGCAGTGCCCTTACTTGCCCTTCGTTATCACTCACAATCCATGCGCGCATTAACGATTCACAGCTACCATATAAGTCTTCATGCTTATCTCCAATGACCTTCTAATCTAACAATGCCTACCCCAACAGTTTACATAACCTCGTTCAAAGTTTCCTCTACTTGACATGCTGGTTTAATTTTTTGATCAATTATGTGGCTTAAAACAAAATCACCAGGAATTTGGCAGGATAGAAATCCACCCCAAAATTATAACAAGTTAGGATTATTATACATAAATCGCTGAAATTAGGATTATTAAAGTGTATACTTCCTCCGTTCTTTTTTACTTGATCCGCTTTGACTTTTACACTATTCACCACCCCTCCTTTGACCTTATTTTGTGAATAATATGTAAAGAAAAACATATTTATGTTGAATCATTTTGAATTCGTCTCAATAAGTACTATCATAATATATAACTTTTATATTTTTTAACCATGGAGAATTAAAGTTATTGATCATTAAAGTTTTGCATTGGCAAACTTGATAAAAGAAACAGATCAAGTAAATAAAAACAGAGGAAGTATTTCCTAAGTATTGATAGGGAACCAAGCAAAACCCAATATTAATTTCATCGGCACATTTGTACACTATAGGATTCGGATACCATCACCAAGATTGTGATTCATGAACACATTTAGACTATATATTTAATTAGCCAAAATTACCATGGTTAGTAATACAGAGTCTTGTGCAACTAAAAAAGAAAGATTTAAGATACTCTTGGCAGTCAACTAATTTTGGCTGAAAGTTATTCCAAATCTAATCCCAAATGTAAATATCGGGTAAGCCTACAATAGTGAATTAAGAGTTTAGTGATTAACCCAAAATACTTTGATGCTAATAAATCCTAATCAAAATCATATTCTTCTTCATAAAATCTACATGATAGAGAACATTAATCTTGAGTTAGATATTTAGACAAAACTGTAAAATGAAAAAGAGGACAGTACTAAGTAACAAGTAATATTTTGTTATTGTTTGTTTACTACCAATTTGATTCTGAAGTGAAATTTCAAGAAATGGGTTAGATGAAAATAGGAGTATAAGCAATAATCAAGCCAATCTATACTTGTTAAACTACTTCAAAAGTGAACTATTTCTATTTGTATTGAACTGAATCCAATTTACATATGTGAGGTAATCTTGCATCCAATTTACAAACTCTAGCCTTAGCGGATTAACCTCAAACAATAGTCAGCTAATTGTCCACACAATTCTTTTCTCAGCCTACTACAAACATTTTCTACTCAGCTAAACAAACAAACTGATGTTTTGATTATATACACCCATTGACAATCATCAATCATGTTAGATGTGGCCCAAAATTTCATATGGACCAAGTTTTGAAGAAGCCTAATACAAATTTTCTTGCTTCTAGAGTATGTCAAATATTCTACAATTATGTTGATTATTCTAGAAAATGGTCAACTTTCTAGAAGCAATATTATCATGCAAGCAAATCTAGAGAATTTTTCATACATCTTGGGGCATCCATTTTCACCGACCTAACCAACTATAAATAGTTGGAGTTTGGCTCATATTGAGGCATTCAACCAATATACATTCAACCTCCATACAAATTTACCCACTCAAAAAATTACTCCTCCATTTACACTAATCTCCCTATTTAATCTCCTCCTTGTAATTTATTCCACTATTTTCTTTTCTTTTATTTTGAGAGTTTAATTGTAAGAGTTGTATCTCAATACCCTATTATTAGGATAACTTTGTACTCTCATTTTATTATAGTGGAATTTTTGGTGCTCGTCGTCGTGGGTTTTTTACCTCTATTTAGAGGGTTTTTCCCACGTTAAATATCGTGTCTCCTTTTATTGCTTATCTAATATTTTACCTTTAATTTCTCGTTCTATTTTACATTGCTCATACCCTAACAAATTGAGAACCCAAAGTTGCTTTTTATTGAGAAACTGCACTAGATCTTTCAATGAAGACTGAAGAGGACCTGCAAACAAAGATTATATTCATTATAACATGCAATTAAGTAATCAGTATTTTACATTATAGCAAAAAGTTGGTTGTCTAGCTTTAATTTTGTATAAAAACAATAGGCTCGCATAAAAATCATGATATGCAACTAACATTTTAAAAAAAAAAATAATAAGGATGAGATGCACACATTATAAAGGTTGGTAAATCTAACCCAACCTCCACCTCTCTGTTTACTGTTTGTTTCTATTTCTCCAACACAACCTGCCATGAAAAAATAGTCAAATGAAAAAATTTATTGATGAGCTTTTAATATACACAAATCACAAATTGCAAATATATGATGCAACTCAGAATATCTTGCAAATAAAAAGGTTGGTAATTGACATTATTTATTTCAGTAATGGTTTACAATATTGTGTTTTTGATAGCAAGTTTGCTTCAAACAAAATAACAAAACAGAGGGATAAGGATAGAACCAAGCATAAAACCAAAAATTTTGCACTCATGAAAAAACTCTCATCAACATAAAATTAGTGACAAAACTTGCTCTTCAAACCTCCTAGATACAGGTTGTTTCGAATCCTCTTTGTTCTCTGAAGATTTTTGACTTCTGGAGGAGGCAAATTTTGCACTCTCTGAAGCTGTTGTACAATAACTATGAATAATTGATATGTTTAGAGGAGTTTGGTGTAATCCCCGTATTTTTAAATATGTTATAAATGAAATTTAATTTTATTTATAATATTGTTTTGTATTTTTCCGTAATTTAATTTTAAAATATTCAAATTATTAATTAGGGTCAAAAATTATTTTGGTACAAATCATTTTATAAACCTGCATTCTATAATTTATTTCAATACAACTAAAGCTTAGTCAATTCAATCATTTGGCCCATTAATTTTATGAGGCCCAATCTTTCTATTTACCCTACAACATTCTCCCTTATAATACCCTATTAATCCCCAAAATTTTCCCACACAAAAAAGTTAGTCTTATTTTCTCCTTTGTTTTATAAATTTGTATAATTATAATTATTGATTTATGGGTTTTGATTTTATTGTTTGAAATTAATTTAATAAGTATCAAATTGTATTTTGATGATTAAATTTGATAATTTCAGATTTTATAAATTTCATAATTTTTAGATTTTGTAAATTTTATAACCTAGGGTTTTTAATTATTGAAAATCATGATTTTAGGATTTTTATGAGCAATTGATTTAGGGCTTTTATAGTAATGATGTTTTGAAATTTTGGTGATTATAACTACTGATTATTTTAACTTAATTCCAGATTATTTTGAACATGTAAATTCGTGTTTTAATTTTTAGATTTTCGTTTGTTAATATTAATCCCGTTTTAATCCCGGTCAGGTTCTGAACTCATCCGATTTTGATAAAAAAAAAGTACAGTTTTCCATGTAGAAACAACATTTTAAGAAAGATTCACTACTCTTGGTAGTGAGCACCACCCTCTCGTGGCCAAATTCAGCCTCTAAATATGATTTTCGGGCAGTTTTTGATTTTAACGAAGTTTTTTTATATGTAAAATATTATCCTTGAGTTTGATTAATTAAATTAATTATGTTTAAAGTTAATTAAGCATAAATATATGTTTTTTTTATTGAAGTTTTAAGTGCTGAAAATAGTTTCTAAGTACTACTTTTGATGTTTTATAAAGAGGGTTTAATCACCCATTAAAAGGGAGATTATTAGGGGTTTTTAAATATTTTTAAGATTTTTATTAAACTTTAAACTTGTTGTAATTTAATGTATAAGAGTGTATTTTAAGGTTTTTATGAAGAAAATTTAAAGAACTATATATAAACCTTTAATTTTAACTAAAGGGAAGGTTTTAAAGTGTTATTTGATTTGGATTTTGAAGGTTTTAAAAGTAAGTTAGTATTGCTGTAAATTTGATTGATTGGGTATTGATTGAGATGTTATTGTTTGGTTTAAAAGAGGAGTTCATTGAAGGTGATTTCTAGATAGTTAAGTGGCATACCAATTCGTTTATTCAAGGTACATACGAGTTACGAAACCTTACTTTTAGGTGCATGTTTAAGGACGGATCGAGAACTTAGTATCATGTATAGGGATGACTGGGTTAAATTGTTTGGTTATACATTGTGAATTTTCGTATGACGTGCACTATTCTATATTGCAAGTATTGTTTATGCTCTAATTATGCAAGGTGCGCTTAGAGGCAAAGGTATGTGATTGGTGTAATGATTAATTTATTACTCATTCATGATTATGCAAACAGGATAAGTAAGAATTTAAGTCTTATATGACGAGGTTAAGTTTATGGGGTGTCTTATGCACTCAAGGTGTTTATACATCGAGGTAGTTAAAAGATTAAATAATAAATGTTGTTTGTCACTAATAAATCAAGAATTTAAATTGGAAATTTGCCTTGTTTGATTGAATTGTGTTTAGAATGTTTGTATTGTTATGCATATGAGTCATCACCAAGTCTAAACCTGTAAATCACGTAAAGTGCAAGATGGATGAGCAATAAAACTATGGATTGGTGCACATCTGGAGTAATGACAATCAGGGGTTGGGGTACACAAGATATTAGCCGTGCACTTTTCTCGAGGCCGTCTGATCTACGAGTCTCCTATTTCAAATATTTTTTTAAAAAACTAGGAGTTAGATGAGATCTCATACTAACTACGGTCACGGAGTCGCGCCTGTGGTCGTTGGATGTTTATTGATGTTTCCGAAAGGAGGCATGGAGTTTTTCTTTTATTGATGTTCCAAATAGAGCATGGGTTGGACAACCTTGTCTATTACGTAATCCAATGAATAAAAATAATGATTTACCTATTATTAATTAAT